CAGACAGCCAGGACTAACAATCCACAACACCGTCAGATAGAAATCACTCCCTGTCAAGTAAAAAATGTTCCTTTGCGTCTTGCTCTGGACTAGTTAGCGTTCTTTTGTTCTCAGGCCATCTCTAAAATGGACACAGAGAGGAGCAGAGGAGTTTGTCTATTTGGAGTAAACCTGCATGGGAAACACTGGGCACATATACCTCGCTATCCAAACCACTGCGGTGACTCTCCCTAGAACAAGCCCTCTAATTTGGGACAGATGTGGGAGCATTTTTAAAATAAAATTCTAGCATTGCTTCAAGGCCAAGTCCTGTGGTCTGGCCTGCTTGGCAAACAGTCTGCATCCAAATGAATTTCTTTTTGGCTTCCGTGAGTCATTTCTATCAGCATGGCACTATGGGCTAGGCAGATGCCACATTTGAAGCACAGATGGATGCTGAAACTCAATCATGCCCACGCTTTTACCTTAGATGATTGTAGCTGAAATGTGTTAAAAGGGATAGTGCACCCAGAAATTAAACAAATTCACTCATTATCTACTCACCACTATGCTGATGGAGGGGTGGGTGAAAGCCCACCCGTCCCCTTGAATTCAATCAACTTGGACCGAATGACACACATCAGTATCAGTTCTCTAAATATGTCCAGGATCCATGTTCCACCAGGTTTTGTGGTAATTGGAGCAGTACTTTTTGCATAATCTTGCAAACAGACAGCAGTGAAAACATAACCTCCTTGGGGGAGGTAATGATAATAATGTTGCAATCAAAATTTTTTTTTAAATGTGATCAGTGCATACAGCTGCATGTTTGTTAACCATTAAGGCCTGGAGATCTTTTAGTGCATGTCTGTTTTGAGTGTTTTCGTTTCACACCTCTTTAAATTCATTGTGGGGCTGTTAGCTCTCGCAGGGTACACGGGTGGTGTAAACTCACCATGCCCACTGTCCAGAAATTCCGTGATGATGGCAGCACTGCAGGGGGACCAGGGGCTGGTGCGGTTGATCTGAATAAGCGTGGGAGACATCATGTGGTTGTCCTGTAGTTTCCCAAACACGTCCTCGCAGGCCTTCACGTTGTCGTGTGGCATGTTGAACACATGTCCTGGAGAGGGGGAACAAGATGTCAGAACAAACTGATGCTTTTATCTGTGATTGTGCATATGCATTCAGACTATAGGAAACGCAGCAGCACTGATGTGTATTTCATGATGAATGGTGTTGGCAGAGCTCACCAAGCTCATGGGCAGTGGTGAAGGCAGAAGGCAGACCGTCATCTTCAATAACAGAGCAGCTCCTGTTTGGGTCACACATGGTGCCAACGTCCGCCATGCCGAGAGTGTCACAGGTGGAAGCTCCACACAGGTCCTGGATAACAAACAGAATTTGCATTAGTTCGTCTGAGCTGATAAGAGCTACAGAATATTTAAACTCTCTTAAACTACGGTATTAGTCTCATGTTTTGTAGCTTTGGCCTTTACCGTCAGTTAGGGCAATACTGTACTCTGGTTGTAACAAACATGGGACACATCATTAGTGATGTAACCTGGGGTCATTGGGTGTTTTGGATCTTTCATCAGACACACCAACCCAAGCAACCCCACCAGATAAATCGGATCCTTTAAATAGAATCTAGAAATATGGTGACATAAATCAAAGTCCAGTGGGACAAGTAACTTGATCTTTCAGGTAATCAGACAACAGTTTTGCTCGATTATTCAAACCAATTTATTTGGTGTTTGAAAAAAGACTTCAAAATAAGCTTCAGAAAAGTCCATAGCACTTCCTCGCTTCACAAGCAAACTGCAGACAACTACAGCAGGTACTATGGTCAGTTTGGGTACTTATTTTACAGTTAGCGCTTTCCCTTACACATCTGGTTAATGTGGGAGTTTGAAAGGTGTCTGATGGTGAGACTCTTTATTTTGTGTGACTTATTTTTAGTCTTTTTGTCCCCTGACCTCAGTAATTAACTTGGTGAGGAAACCTTCTTTCAGTAATAATAAAAAAACAATTACAACCAAGTTGTAATAAACTCTACTTATCCTTTAAAGTCCCTTACATCATGGTATTCCAATCTGATGTATTACTCTACTCCTTAAATATTCATGACTGAAATAAAAAAAAACAATCTAAAGTCCATAAGAAGAGAAACAACTAAACATTGCTTGAACAAATGATCTCCTGCCTCACCAGTACAGTAGAGATGTGTTTTGACCATTAGCAAACAACCCAACAACTCTCCTCTAATTATATTTTGAATGCATCTCATTTGTGCATCTCAAGTAATGTGACACATATGGAGGCTTGAGTCCTCCTGCAGCAGCCACAGGTTTGGTTCCGACTCATCCCTTTGCTGCATGTCTTCCCCACTCTCTCTCTCTCCATTTCACACTTATCCTGTCCTATAAATACAGGCAAAATGCCCAAAAGATCTTTATAAGAAAGAGTAATGTAAAATCACCTTTTTTCCAAACAAGACAAGGCCACTATTAACTAATAAAAAGGAACACATCCTTCATAGAAGCTGACTAATAAACTATATTTTCAGGACCTTTAAGTTATTCTGTTGACGTGACCTGCAGATTTGTCTTTTGAGACTGGGAAAAGGTTTGATAGTGTTATGCAAGGCTTCCCACCACCCAGTCTTTAAATGTTTTTAGTGGGCAACAGTGTTTAGAGTACACCTTCTCCCATGAGGTAATGCAACTGTCCCCAACCATAACATTTCCATGTTGGAGCAGAGTTTCCACATGACCTATTTCCCAACCACAGGGTTTTTAAAACCTAATCTTAGTGAGTATCCATTTGGAGCTGAACCTCCTAATCACAGGACAACTTTGGCACTAACCGCCACAGAGAACCGCCCATCTGCCTGCTCCCTAAGCAGCACTATCTCTCCATACCCCAAAACACAGGAAAACTAGCAGTGGTCAGCTATTACAGATAAAGCACAGTCCTGGTGTAGTGTCGCCCAGTCACTACAATTCTCTGCTACTCTGAACCTACACACGAAACACACAGATCCAAGTGACAACCTTGAGTGCTATGACAAATCACTCCTCTAATAAACTGCAAAACCACAATTGTTGGTCAGTGCAAATCTAATCCAGATGTGCTTGTGTGCAGGGTTCATCTGAACGTTTGGGCCATTTATGAGCAAAGAATTATAAAAACAACACTTCAAGACAAATGAGGGAGAAGAAACGGCAATGTCAATGAGTTTGGTCGTTGTTTTGACCTATTTCCCACATCTGTCATCTATCTTTGTGTTTCTGCAATTTAAGAACAGTTGTTATCTCAACAAAGAAATATGTCCATTTTACTTTGTGTGCAGATTTACAAACTTTTAACTACTTTCCAGGCTGTTAAAGTTTGTGTTTTTAGATGCATTTTTAAAAAGTATCTTAGCTTCTTTTAGCACTTTCTAAACTAAAAGACTATGAGGAGTGGAATAATAGGTCTGAGTCAGCAGCTCTGCTGACAGGGTTTATAACATGCGGACATGCTATTGGGGTGTATATTTTCTTTCTTAACTCATCTACTATGAAAGCAAAAACAAACATGCTATGAGTTAAAGAGGTACCACCCCTTCTCTCAGGGGAAATACATCACTCAGATTTACAGTTGGATTTAATCTTTTGGAGGCTAGCTCTTGTACGTACAATGAACTTTGTGAAACAAGTTCACGTAAAGCATTCTTAACACAACAGTCATGCCAGCTGCAGAATTTAAAGACAACCACAAATGCCTCTGGACAACTCTGAGTTGGTCTTCATAAAACTATACAAATTAGACTTTGGGCTAGTAAACAGCAGACACTGGACCTGCCTTAAATACTTATTAAAAACTATGGTAAACCAAAACAATGCCACAGATTGAACCGACCAAAGTCTGAGTCATCAAGTCATGAATCAATAGATTGGACTGTTTTTGAGTTTTTCGACTTGACCTGATTTGTCGATGGACATGTGTGCAGAAGAATATACTATAAGCACCTTCTATGTGAAGTTAAAGTGAAATGTCACTACTACGACATATTTACATGTTTGCTCGAGTTGCAACTTAACAGCAGCTTGGTTTGTTGGATGGTGATGAGGGAGATGTTTACGTTTCTTGTTCGCTTTACACTCTGAATGCTGTTCTTTGCACCTACACAGTCACAATATTTACCCAACTATGGCTATTCTGTTTTTCTTGCACTGTTCATGCAAGAAGTTCCATCAGAAGAAATTTGTACACTACAGGTTTATGGCCAATCCTGGTGAATGCAGGGTCTCCTAAATTGACAACAGACTCAAGCCACACTGGTCAAAAAACCCACTGACACCCACTAACATCTGGCTTTTGTCTGCAGTGGGAACAGATACAATCAGCATTCACTCCCAGGTCAAATGACTCTCAGGTTATCAGCTCCACACGCCAATTTCTTCTTATTTTGGCAGTCAGAACTCCCAGGCATTTGTGCGTAAATAGCCATGAATGGTTTTTTTCTTCGTATCATGCAAGATCCAACCCTGACGGTGATGTCGAAGAGCTTGTCGATTTCCAGTACATTTGTGACATTGAACGTAACTCACCAGTGTAAAATAAAATAAAAAGGAGCCCATTGCGTTTTTGTTTATCCATGTTTAAAAACCTTTGTATACCTGATAATTTTGGTGTAAATTAGGTATAATCTCAATTCTGCAAATGGCATGAATAATCCCACAACCTGGCAACACCCTAGGTCTGCTTTCTAAAGTGCAAAAGTAGCCTTGCAGCAGAAAGAATGAATGAGAGAGAGGAAGTGCATGACAGAATGAAAAATATGCTGTAAAAGATGCATCTGTGCAGGCTGACTGCAGCTGTGCAGAGCCGCCCCTCTGGAGCGGCTTGCTTCAGAGGTGGGGCGAGCAGGTGGGGGCATTAAACACAGAGGGATGTGACATAGCTGACATCAACATAGGAAACCCCCCCAATCACCCTTCTCCCCATCCCTCCCTCCCTCCCTCTCTCTTCAGGGGCCTGTTTAATGAGGAGCAGGCAATGTGGTGGGAAGGACTGGAAAACCTACAGCTGGAGGAAGATTGAGAGAAACAAGACACTTCCTACAAGTGGATCTCAGAGGACACTGACAGACATCATATTTGGTAGTTACAGGTTTAACTAGTGCTTAATTGAGGTCTTATATGATCATGTGTCGTGTTACGTTAGTGACAATGGCCAAAGATCATTCCACGCCTTTCATTCTAGAGGCTGTGATTACATCTGCAGTTGAGCCTTTGGCTGCAGAGTGAACATCAGCTAAATATTCTGTTCCTCAGTTATTGAATCTGCATCTGCCGTGTCGATCTGTCCACTGAATTCCAATCTTTAATACCACGGTGAGATCTAACTGGCCCACTTCCATCAGGCAGACGTTTCATCCCAGTTCAGTGGGTTACACATTGGCCAACGCATGTGAGCAATTACTTCATCTCTGACCCTGTGGCCTCTGCCAGATATCTGGGCGTGCAGGGAGACTCTCCACTCCAAGGAGGTTTTCAAGTCTACACCCCACCCCCCACCCCCATCTCTCTCTTTGCATGCATGGAGTCCACAAAGAGCAATCAAGACTGTTGCTGTTTTCAGCTCAAGTAACTTCCTCTGGGACTCAGTGTCAAAGCGGTGATGCTATTCACTGAGAGGTTGCTCCTTGAAGTGCAGAGCATGTTTTGAGAGCAAACCAATTAACTGACACAGCAGGAGTGATGGAGGGGAAGGTTGCCATGTCAAGTCTCCAGCATTAACCAGTTCCCCTTCTTATCAAAAGTAAACATGCAGGAGGAATGTTTGATCATCATCATAATCTCATGTTTTATTTCATGTGAGATGTTAAGAATTGGTATATTTGCAGAAACGCGTAATTAAGCATTTCTGTGCCTAATCTAACTTGATAGAATTGAATATTTGTTAATGCTGTTACTTCACAGTAACAATTTGAGTTGAAATGAAGAACTTTTACCTGTCTGGTGAAAAGTATGGCGGTGTCCCAGTAGTCTGGATGCTTGTCGCTGTTTTTGTTCAGCTTTTTTTGCCAAGTGCAAAAGTTACGCAGCGTCATGGCTGCGTTCCCGGACACCTTGGGTCCTTTGTCCTCCTCGGATATAACCACGATCTTCACAACTGTGATGCTGATGGAGTTGAGGATACTTGGGTGTTTGTAGAGCCTCGCTGCCACTGACATCAGTGTCAGGAGGTAGTGTTTGAGGTCATCTCCATGGAACTGCGCCATGGACTCGTCCGCCACTACGAGCGTCTCCACGTATCGGGGGACGGAGGCGAATCGTTTGGCTCTCCCCATCCTCCTCAGCATCGTTTCGGTCACATTGCTGTGCTCTATCAGTCGCTTGTATTTCTCCAGCGATTGCGCAGCCTGGAGACTTATGTCGCTGTCCACTGCGCACCTCGAGGTCGAATTGAGCTTCAGGGTGTTGCTGGCCCTGCGCCGAATGATGTGAGCGCCTTCTATGCTCCTGCTTTCGTTTTGCACCGGGCTGATAAAATATTCCCATCCCTGAAAGCCGAATGCACCCTGTAAACCCTGACAGAGGCTCAGAGCAGCGTACGAGTAGCGATCATCGTTCACATACCCGGAGTAGAAACACCGGCTCAGGTCAGTTGTCACATCGGAGCTGGAGAGCCAGAATGCGTCTTGGTTAGAAATGGAAGGCGCAATGAAATCAGAGTCCTGATGCAAATCGATCACTAACTCCTGCTGGAAAGCTCGTATCTTTATGAGACATTTCCCACTGGGCACATGCACGTCGTTGTCAAAATCGCTCCTGTCATGGTTTTCCGATCTAACTGGGAAGCAGAGTTCACTTTCCACGCAGCGCACACGTTTTGGGAGTGAGAGCACAAAGTAGAGGAGAAACGTTGCTCTGATAAACATGACGATGCTTGCATTCAGTGAAGAATGCAATGAATGACGAGCGGAGAGAAAACAAAGGTGATGGTGAAGCTGTGAAACTCAGTGGAAGCGGTGACAGATGAGCACGCAGAGCATAATCCAGCGCGCAGGGACTCTACAGCAGTGCAGGTCGTACAAGTCCACTCAGAGCAAACTCCTCCTGGTCATGACCCAATCCCATCCTCCACCTGTGTGTGAGTGCTGAGTCGACCGCTGCCTTCTGAGGACTTAATGCATTTTCGTCATGTGTAAAAATATGGGAACTCAAGCTCTCTTTTTTTCTGAAGGGGGGCAGGCTTTGGATGCGTTCATTGGATGCATGCAGGCTGTTTCTGCGGCCACTATCACCATGTCCCAAGTTAACGCACTGTGATGATTTAGTTCATCTCACCCTTCCAGAGAGCTTCAGACTGCAGACTGCCTGACTCCACGAAATCTGCATAAACCCATCCAGACATGGGGGATAAATTACTGGGTTTGTTTTTATCTCACAGAAACTGCAACAGAAATGAGTCTTCTGTCCCCAATTTGAATATACAACCAACAATGATGCTATAATAACATCCACATCTTAAACATCACACAGGGACAGCAGAGGACTGTTTACTTCATTACATGTATATCTGACATCCAGTTACTAATTACTGAGCAGATTAAGATTGAAGAAAAAATCGAATGTTATGCCCCCCCCCATCAAATTAAATTAGCTGTACTTGATAAACATTAGTAAAATGACGTCACACTTTTCACTTTAATATTAATCTATAATACAAAGCAATGTGATATATACTTAACCATTATTGAATGGAACCATTCTGCATAATGAGAACTTTTGATGATATAAACTTCCTCCTCAGCTCAAAACTGTGTTTCAGTCTTTGTTACTTTGATTATACTGCCACCTCTTGGTATGAAGGAGTATCACGGCTTCTGAAAATTAAGAGGAAAAGTCCTGCTGCCCTCAGGAGGCTGCAGGGATTTCATCTAATGAATTGAAGGAGACACTTTTCATACAGTAGAGATAAACTGTGGACAACAACTACTGTAACAATTATTTCATTTAGCGATAAAAGCACCTTGAGTGAATGAATGGTCAGATACAGACATGGTCCTGTGGTGTCTATTCTCAAAAAGATAAGACACAGTTGATATTAGGTGAAACATTCAGTTGCTGCTGAACCTCTCACTGGTTTGGTTTGGTTTGCACTTCTTCTTTCTCGTGTGCAGACATTGACACAAAAAATCAATTTTAAGGGTCAGTATGTAATTTTTTGGGAGTAAGTATGATCCCAAGTTGTACTAAAGTCAATTTGGAGAACATATCTTCAAACTTGGAATTATTGGATTCTTTCCTGTGAGTTGAACTGAACAGAGTGGTGTGATGCTGATGTTTGTTTCTGGTGTTGTTTTTAATGCAGAGCCATCTTTCTGAGTGGTTTTCATTGTGCTTCTAATTAAGATTCCTAAGATTCCTTTTTTATTGTCCCACAATCATGCACACACAGCACTACATGCAACATTGGGAAATATGACCTCTGCATTTAACCCATCCGTGTGAACACAGCAAACACGGAACAGTGGGCAGCCACTGCCTCCCCTGGACTGAGCTACTGCCTCCCCAATTCTGGTTGTGCTGATAATGTTCACATTTGATTTTGGTGAGATTCATCAATACAAAGTGCAAAATAACTATCACTCACAAAATGCTTAAGTGATGCATTTGACTGAGGTTTAAAGAACAAATATAGGCCCCAAACATTGGCTCATATATGCTGTAGTGGTTGGTATAACACAACAATATTGTATGGAGAAAGAGTGACACACTGACTTTACTCATTGTTGCAGTTGAACTTAAAATTTGGCCATTTGGTGGCACTAGAGTAGAGCTCATGTTAAGTCGAGAGAGGATGGGTTGATTCTCACAGCAGCAAACAGTAGATTTGATGACGTTATGGCCACAAAAACAAAAAATATCAGCAGAGTGAAAGTTAGATTAACATTAAGCTTAATTCTCTAGTATCCACGAATATCAATTGTAAATCTTATTTGAAAGTGTCCTTGACATGTTATGTCCCAAAGGGATGTTTTGACCTGACGGTGGTGCTGTAGCCTAAAGGTCAGCAAGTCATTAAAATCAGTATCTTACTCAATTTTTTTATTTACCAATAAAACAATGCAACATTTCACACTAAAGTCTTGGACAAATGGACCCACTCACCTACAATAATATCAAAATCAAGCTTAGCTGATAACAGAGTGAAAATAACAATATTTCTTAATAACACATGCGTGTTAACTGATCTGTTGATTTACTCTGTGACTGATCATGTTCACATATGCATTGTTTGTTTTTGTCTTTTTAGATCAACAGATATCAACAAGTTCCATAAGCGTCATGAGTCAGTTCCTCCAAACAGCAGAACTCCTTCTACCACTAAGAGGAAGGAGATGAACGTCAAGAGGAGTCACTCGATCAGAGAGAGGACATCTACAACATGTCTACAACATTTTATAACAATACCAGTAACAGCTGAAGAGCATGCTGTACACATGTGGTCAAACCTTTTTTTTATTTTTTGGGTCATGTTTGCATCAAATGATGGTCAAAATTATCCTATTTGCATATTATTTCCATCAATAGAAAAATCTATAAATATTCTTGGACAACTGTGGTCCAGCCTTTCACTACTCAGTTGGACATTGTGATTATTTGCAGTGTTGTTTCAAGTGAATGTGATTATAAATGAATGCAATTTCATTACTTTTTAACTCCGCTAAGGAGGTTATGTTTTCACCAGCTCCACCAGTTTGTTGGTTATTTTTGAGTTTGTTCATAAAAAAATAAAAAATCACAAAAACAGCAGATTTCCACGAAGCTAAGTGAAGGGGTGGGACATGGTTAGACAATTATATGAATCATTACATTAATGAATGTTTCTATCTAGTTTCCAGGTTTCTTGAACAAAGTATGTTATTGACGCTGAACACGATCAGCTGCATGCTTTGTTTTCAGTTGCCAGGGAAGCAGCAGCGGTTGCTAGGGCTAAGGACCCTTGTTGTGGGTCTGTCCACAGAAAAGCCCGTTCCGATTGACTTTTTAGTTGTAAATAAATAGTTAAAAATAGAAGTTTCTCTTTAAAAAAAAGTGATTGAACTTCTACACATACAAATGCTGACTACATCCCTGTGGCAAGTGAAACTCTGAACAGTGTTCTGTGTGAGTTTTGTGAGGAGGCAGCTTCGACTTGCTCTGCAGCGGTTATTTCATTTATTAAGATTAACGGTAGCGCACAGGCAGTGAGCTAAACCATCAGCAGCTGTCGTCACTTCAAAGTTTTTGAGGATCTTATAAGAACACGGACGATGCTAACAGTCCAAGAGTTGAGTGTGTAGAATTCGTCGCCATGAACTCGTACCACGTCCTGGAGCTGGTGGGTGAGGGCTCGTTTGGTCGAGTGTACAGAGGGAGGAAGAAATACACGGGTCAGGTGAGTGCAGGGTCTGTTTGGGTTCAGGGTTCACAGCTGATTGACTGCTGGTTCACTCTGTCTGAACCGGGTGTTTCCGTCAGGTGGTGGCTCTGAAGTTCATGCCGAAGGTGGGCCGATCTGAGAAGGAGCTGCGAAGCCTGAAGAGAGAGATCGAGATCATGAGAGATCTGCAGCATCCAAACATCGTCCGGCTCTATGACAGCTTCGAGACTGACACTGAGGTGTGAGAAGTGTCGAGTTTTAAAACGCACACAGATTCTTATTGTCTCACAATCTTTATAATGCTGTGACTGAAACCCTCAGGTTGTGGTTGTGACTGAGTACGCAGAGGGCCAGTTGTTCCAGATTCTTGAGGATGATGGGAACTTACCGGAAAACCAGGTATTCATTCACTGTCACTGAACATTAGCCTCTCAAATAATATATAATATCTTTATTTACATATCATTTCTCAAAACAAAGTTACAAAGTGATCCACGAATAAAAAAACCCCACATGTAAAAATACATTACAACCCAATACATCAGTAAAAACTAGAATTAGTTCAAATCAGGGAATGGTATAATAAAAATGCATTTTTAGCTTTGATTCTAAGGAAATGACTGACTGCTCTATTCCATCGTGTTCCAAAGCTTTTATTTCAAAAGCTCAGTCCCCCTTAGTCTTCAGCCAAGACTCTGGAGCAGTTCAAAAGGCCCCTGCCAGAGGATCTCGAAGTCCAAGCAGGGTTATATGAGGTGACAGATCTGCTATACAGAGAAATAAGTGCCAGATATGTTATTAAGAAAAACTTAAAATAAATTCTAAAACGTACTAGAAGCCAGTGTAAAGGTTAAACCAGTGCTATGTGTTCCAAAAAGCCTGACAGCTGAGTTCTGTACTGTACATGTGAAAGAGCTGTTGCACTAATTCAGGCGTGATGAGAGAAAAGCATGTGAAATAGTTTCAGTATCTTTAAAATTTTAACAAATCAAACTACTGAACTCTCCACCTTAAAAACACTCAAACCCCACCTTTTAAGAACTGCTTTCAGTGTTTGATTATGACGTTCATCTCATATCTTAATATTATCAGTTATTCACATTTATCAGCTGTATTTTTTTTATCTATATAAAGTGTCTGAGCATTGTCAAAAGTTTAAAAATAAAAAGTATTATGATTAATATTACTGGACATAGTTTTCACATGTTCACCTGTCGCTCCTCTGTCCTCCTTCTCAGGTGCGTGAGATCGCCTGCCAGCTGGTCTCTGCCCTGTATTATTTACACTCCCATCGCATTCTTCATCGTGACATGAAACCACAAAACATACTCCTGGGGAAAGGTGGGGTGGTGAAACTGTGTGACTTTGGGTAGGTACAGTACATTGATTATTTTTGAAGGTAGCTGTATTTAATCTTTCCACCAGGATAACAATATGTGATGCAATCTTCTTGTAGGTTTGCCAGGTCCATGAGCACCTCCACCTTGGTGCTGACTTCTATCAAGGGAACGCCACTGTACATGTCTCCTGAGCTGGTGGAGGAAAAGCCATATGACCACACGTCTGATCTGTGGTCTTTAGGCTGCATCCTCTACGAGCTCCACACAGGCACGCCACCGTTCTACACCAACTCCATCTTCCACCTGGTCCAACTTATCGTGAGAGATCAAGTAAAATGGCCGGACACGATGAGCGAGACCTGCACGGTAGAGTAACGCTACATTTGAGCAATGTTGTATCATGTATGGATCAAATCCAACAGCTTCACTGCACGAAAATATGGTTTCCAAATGGTCAAACTGGTTTAACAATGTAAACATAAAATCTTATCAGAACAGAGTACAGGATGTCCCCATAGTAGTCAGACACAAACTATTTTCTCCAGAGTTTACCTTTCTTACATGAGCAATGCAACAGTCTCAGATGGGTTCACAACAACACAGAAATCTCTGGAGCTTTCAGGTGAGGGGGGTGGAGCAGAGGCAGAATGTAACATACTATTCAGCTGCAGAGATCACATGTTTTTCTTTACACCACATCAATACAAGCATTGACTCTTATCGCCAAAAGCTCTCTTGAAATCTTAATTGGTCGTGTATGGCCACACTTTTATTCCTGAGATATTCATAGTCTTTTTTTGTTGTTTTTTTCTGTTGAGAATGTTCTTGAGCCTTTAACTCTGACATTTGTATTCTCACACCCAGCCCCTGCGGATAATGTCATGAGATTATTTGGAATTCATAGCACGTCTGAAAGTGACTACACTGAGAACGTGGCCCCAGTATCTTCAGTTATAGACCTGCTAAAGGGGGACAGTATTTATTTATCTTTTGATGGGACAGTATACATTGACTTATCTAATATTTTCCTTGCAGAGTTTTCTGAAAGGTTTGTTGACCAAAGACCCTGAGAAGCGGTTGTCATGGCCAGATCTCCTGCACCATCCCTTTGTCGCTGATGGTGTTCTAGGTGATGCTTTAAGCTGTAATAAAGAAATAAAGAATTTTCCAAAAATGCATCATGCTGATCTACTTTTCAGATAATTCTAATGTCTGTTTTATCCCCATTTTGATGTGTTGGTACAGTGTTGGTGGACACAAATGTTTACAGACCCCTGACTGTCACACCCAGCCCTGACACGATGGCGCTTAAACTTCAGCAAGTGGCAGCGAAGACGGTGCTGACTTCTGGACAGAGTAGATTACTGCGAAATGCCCGGGAGCAGAGGGACAACAGTGGCAGACAGAAACCAGTAGATTGTGATATAGCTAAAGTAAGAAGCCAGTTCATTTTTATTCATTGAATTAGTCCCATTGAAATTCATGGTGGAGCTTTGAACTGTTGTGTGCATTACCAGGTTACAAAGGATGGAGTGGGAAATGAAAGGGTCGACTCCACGCAAGCAGCAAAGCTCCCCAGAGCCAAGCCCCACCCCAGTTATGGTTCTGTTACCTCTGGTCACTCTGTCAGAGCTGAATCCAGAGCTGCCAATAAAGTCCTCAACCCAAAGTCACAATCTTCTGTGAGATCAAAACCCAGGTATTTATGGAAGTTAGGAATAAAGACACAATATACAACCAGTGCAGGCTGAGGTGTGTGTTCACGGTTATGGGTACCACCTCTGCAGGGGTCAGATCAGCATAGACTACGAAAAGGAATTTCTGTCTGTGGAGGTCAGACCACGACTGCTGAGAAAACGCAGTGACAACAAACAGACCAGTCATAACCTGCAGGTCAGTGTTGTCAGTTTTCTTTCTGGTGATATAAAGACATTTTGTATTTAGTGTGTCTTATATTCTCTTGCACTAGCAACTGTACCCTTGTGATAAAGAAAGTGGTTGCTGTCTTGTCTCGTCCTTTCAGAATGTTGACAGTGAGGAGTACTGGGAAAAACTGGCCCGAGAATCAGATGAGAGCAAGCAGCAGAGAGAGCAGTTTAACTACAACAGCGTTATACCTCAAATTAAAGCCAAGATTCTGGTTTTTAAATTTCAGGTAATTGGGTACAATTTTAAATAAATCGACAGTAACTCAGGGATGATTTTAGATGTTGACTCTTCTCTTTTGTTGTTTGGTCAGTTAACAGGTGGCTCTGTTGAGGAAGCATGGCAGATTCACCAACCGCTGAAGGTCTTGCGCAACCTGCTACTGACCCCTGACCTTAAGAAGTCCAAACACATTGGCCAGGAACTTGGACTACCCCATGTCCTCTTTGACGTGGTCCATGGTACTGTAGAAAACTCAGACTATGTCAAGGTTAGATACATATCACTTACTCATTAATGCATTGTCAGGCATCAGTCTGAATATTCCTGAGTATGTGTCTTTCCTGCTCAGCGACCGTGGAGTGTGTCAGCACTGGGAGAAATTATCACAGTCCTCGTGATCTACTGGGATAAACATCCTGACTGGATAGAAGAAGAAGACAGGTTTGTTTTTGTCTTCACTGAAGCTGATTCTGTTCATGTGTTGAGTTCTGTGTGTTTCATACATCACAGTCCTTCATCTAATGCAGCTCATCAACTGTTCTCTTACTTTAGACTGGAAGAGTTCACCAAGCCCTTTCTCGCAATTCTAAGTCAACCAGACTTCTCTCCTTTGTCCGTAAGTACCCATGTTCACACATTATATACTATGACTCTGCCCAGTTGTCTGATATAACTGTTTGTGCTTCTCTTCTTTAGCCTTTGGCTGCGTCTGTCTTGTGTCTTTTTACACAACATACAGTTGATGTCAAAGCTGATGTGAACAATCTAACCTCCCTGCTGCAAAACCTGCTTTCGGACTCATATGAGGTCAGTGTTGGGATGCAACAAAGTACATCTACATTTACAGTGCTTAAGTACATTTTCATTTGTCTGTACTTGGGAAGATTTGATTTCAGGGACTGTTTTAGTCCACCACATACTGTATATCAGCAATCATCTGGACTCAACTGCATTTTCACAATATGCTGTGTTACATGCTCATATTGTTTTATTTGTTTTTAAGAGTAATAAATAGCATAGAGGGGATTTGTTGCAGTGACAATTAGACCCCGCCTCCAGCAACAGCAGCATCACTGGTGAAGAAGAAACACCTGAAGTGGATTTAGAAAGAGACCTGCGGCTGCTAAGATTCCGCCATTAATTAATATAAATGTTTTGCATCAGCAGCAACATTTGTTTTTAATATGTCAGAGTCTGTATTATTCTTGTATTAAACAAAATATACAGAGTTGATGATGTAGTAGACTGTTGCATTAGCGGATAGGCCACACTAGGGAGGTACTTCTAATACTTTTAGTATATTTAAAAGCAAGTACTAGAAGAACCTTTAATCAAGTAGAAAAGTTATATGGTAATGTTGCTTTTTCTTGAGTACATATTTGTCAGTCTTGTAAAATGTTTGAGCACTTCCTCCAACACTGTATGAATCAGTGATGAGTGATTCATTTATATACTTTGAAAGTTTTTAATGCAAAGTTTAAAGTGATCCTCCTCTGTTTGAAGTGCCACCCTCTCCTCTTGTCTCGTCAGCCGCTGTGTTCTCTTCCCTCCGGCTGGGGGCTTTGTGACGGCCTCCTGTCTTTACTCCTACACACACTGTCTGAGGTCAGACAATACCTGCAATGTAATAAAAAAAATTGCCGCGATGAATCCCAGAAGAAGACCTTCAATATTTTCCTCTGTGCTTTTGATATTTAATTTTTTTTAACAGCATGAAAATGACTCTGGATCGTCAAGTTTAGATCCAGTTGTGTTTCTGGATTTGTGGAAAAAAATTGGAACTTCACTCGCAAAGACAACAGCTGATACAGACTTCTGTTCGGCAAATGGTAAATATATTCCTCACATGAGGCCCAGCCTATTAGAAACACAGACTGCACATAAAGATGGTTACATACATTACAATTTGTTGTTGTTTTCTCTTTACCTCAGGGATGTTTTCCTTTCTGTCTACTGCCTTCTTCGTCTTCATCAAGGATCCATATTCATGCATCGCTTTGTTTTCTGAGAGCGGATCGAAATGCGTGTACACTCTCGGTCAACTGCTGGGCACTGACTGGTAACTTAATGAATCTACTGTTTCATGTAAATGTTACAGCTACTACACTTGGAGCTAACAGTAACCCCTGTTATACCCTACAGTCTTCATTTGTTTGCTGATGATTGCAGTCCCAGGAGATTTGAAGTGGATCTGAGTCACGACAGCATGTCCGCATTAAGCTGCCGCTTGCTGTGTTTTCCATTTGCCCTGGACCTGCCTTCACACACTATGTCCACCATACTCCAGTTGTATGACAGTTGTGGTATTGTTGAAAGCCTCGCGCAGGTTCGAGCCTTCCCATTTTTCTAATAAAGACCTAGCTGACAAACTGATTCTCTGATGCAACACAGCACAACTCTTGCTCACATTTGACACACACTACTGTACATCTTAATGCCTCTGTACTTTTGTGAGAGGATTGTCTTGTTTGTTGTCGGCTGTTTGATGTGACAACTTGTCAGGATGTTTTTTTTTTTCATGCTTTGGCAGGTTATTCAAACTCTTCCTCCTCTGCTGTTGGAGCTGCCTCTCTCCCTGCTGAGCCGTTTGCTCCTCTGTGACCCCGAGCGCTCTGTTTCCCGCCTCAGAAAAGCTGCCTGTGGTCTGTTCTTGCCACCCGGGGACGGACGGCTCACTGCTTCCAAACACCAGACTCTGCTAATCAGAACTGCCAGCTCTCTGCTCCTTGACTTGTTGCAGCCGGATGAGCTGTGGGACTCTGCAGTGGAGCTCTTAACTCTGTTGTACCAAGTAGCCCATTGTTCAGCTCGGCCTGCCAGCCTTCAGCTTCACCTGGACCCCTTGGTGCTGCAACGGGCTCTGGCTCACCCTTATGACCACATCAGGGTCGCCACGTGCAGACTTTTGGGCAATCTGGATCCGTTCAGGCCTCCTACCCTGCCGCCTGACATTTTCAAAAGCATGATAAGCTGTCTTAATGATTCGTGCTTGCCTGTACGGCGAATGGCTTGCAGGGCAGTTGGCAACTGGTTGGGATATATTGCAGCAAGTGCAGGGTTTAAAATGGGCAGGGACGCTACAGGGTGGAGCAAAGGGAAGAAACAAAACAAACTCAAACGTTCAGACAGTGAGCCAGCAGGAGATCTGGCTACAGCGGAACAGGAAATGGACGATGAGGAGGGTGGAAGTTGGCTGGAGGAAGCCAAGAGGACGGCGGCCCTGCTGGCGTCCCTTATCGCTGACCCTGATGCCCTCACACGTCGCCACTGTTGCGTGGCCCTGGGAAACCTGCTAAATTGTGACGCTGCTGTGTCCTTGTTGTTGGAGGACGTGTCCAGCTTACTTCTGAGAGCTGCATGCACGGATTCCCATAATGCAGTAAAACGAGCTGCCATAGCAACTCTGTGCCTTTACAGCAAGCAGGACGCAATCCGTCAGGTAATGAAATGGACAGATGAGAACAGAGTATAGACAGAATCGCAATCTCACCTGAATCTGTTCCTGGTTTGAAAATGTGTTCAGAAATTAGTTCTTTATGTAATTATTACATGTTTTCTTACAGAAAGTTCAACACATGAGCTTAAAGAATATATCACAAGAAGATTCACACCTTTTCATTTGAATAACTTCAGCTATTACCTCTTATAAATAATCACAACTACTGCCTAGAGTCCATATCTTTCTATTTTACAAAGCTTCTTCCTTGGGTTAATGAAATATCTTGTCTCAATCGCTCACACTTCTGTGTATGTGTGTGCACTTTAAATTCCAAAAGTGACTTTTCTCTTGTGTTTATTTGAAGGTCCTGATATCCCTCAACGCCAGTGACAAACTTCTGCAGGCTTCCCAGCAAGCTTCTGCACAGTGTGACTATCAACAGCTCATTGGACAGCTGTGAGCGAGTCTGCTTCATGACCAGTGATGGCAGGGTGGTAAAAAAAAAAAAACTCTCACTTCTTACTTTACAGCAGCCTGCCACTTCCTCCTGTCTCAAAGTGATGTGGAAGACAGATGATCATTTCTTCTGTTTTTTTTCTTTAGTGTGTCTTATTTTATTTAAAAAAAACATTAAGTTTGAGTTAAAAGGTGCAAATAAAAACTGAACTTTGTATTACTGTAATCTGAAGTTTAATTTCATGACAACAATGGGTCCAATTTCATAAATGGAGTTGTTACACAGAAATGATGGTAGATGTTCTGTTTAATAAGAGAGGAATATTTCTGAATTTCAATTTAAAATAAAACTCACAAAGATGCAATGTTGACAGCAAATTTAAAGATCTCTCCTTTATTTTTTGCCAGAGCAATAAACAGGCTTCAAGATTCATTTTAGTCAAGTTTTAATACATTTTGACTGCAATTGTCCTCATCTGTGTTAGTTATGCACTAGGAGACCAAATTCATAGAAATGACTTGATTTTAACTGTCAGGGAATCTGCGCTTAAAACACCAGTTTAAATTTTGGTCGGATGTTTGAATCAGTGAAGTCCATCTGAAATTCTTTCTCATTTTGCAGCGCGGGCTAAAAGAAATCAGTTTTCAGTGAAGATGGATCAGATGTGTTGGTTCCTCTCGGTGAGTGTGTGGGATGTGTCCGGGTCCAGGCCCGCGGGCTCGGGTCGGACAGGAGTGGGTGTCCGTCGGGCTCCGGAGGTCTGAACTTTTACCGGAGGAAAAAAAAGATTTTGTAAAATCTTTGAAGACAAAAGTTTTAATTCTCATTGAGGTCGCTCCTCATTATTATCGCTGGCAACAATCTTTGTTTTTTGTTCTCGGGGAGAAAAGCGCAGAAAAAACAACAGCGGTCTGAGTTTGACATTTTATTTTGAAATGGAGAAAAGTTGACGACACAAAGTAAATATGGATAAATTATGAAATAACTTTACAAATCCCTATAATGTGCTTTTAGATATGCTGTCATCAGGCTACACGTGTATTTGGTTTTCACATTCACAGTTGATAGTACACCGCAGGGTGGGGAGGAGGAAAAACAGTGTGACACCAGTTTTTGTCCAAAACCAAACAAACAAGATAAATCAATGTTTTAAATATATGTAGAAAAAATAATTATGTTTAACAGAAACAAAAGTGGTTAGTTTTTTGAAGCACATAATGAGAAAAGAGCTGGAAAATAATTTAGACAGTATCCTTTCACACCAAAGCCAACACTGCAAAAGCTTCACCAAACAGTCTAATGAGATTTTCTTTAAGTTTCTACAAAGAAAAGGTTTAAACACTCCACTCCCTGATTATACAAAAGTCATTACAAATTAGTGCAGATCAGCCAGAGGCCTAGAAAACTTATTGCCTTAACAAGCAGTTTAGAGAAACATATTTCTGAAATCCTACATTTTCTATTCCAGAGAGAAAAACATGCAGAGAAAGATTGGTAGTTACTGTCACTACTTACAATATTTGTACATGTGGAAAACCCTCTCTTTCCACTGGGAAAACCTGTGTTGTTCAAATCTTTCCGGTGTAAAATGAAGAACAGAAGAGCTATTTCACAAGTCTGTAATCTCCAATTATCTACTGATATCTGTAAGGGTGTAGGATAATAGGGTGCATATCCTGAGCTGCAAGACAGATTGTACAATTTGCAATGTGCTAGAGAAAAAAATCACAAATTGCCACAAAACGATATATGTTTCCACCTTTAAGACAATAAAATATTAAATTAGTTTTCCTTTGGTGACAGAATTTGTATTTTAAGAAAATATTTGCAACCACCGTTGGAAAAAGGTGATTACATGTAATGCAAACATCACAAAAATAAAACAAATGTAGACATAGCAAAGTAACATTTCCAACAAATTTATACGCTTGACCTTCACATGCTCAAAATATACAAATCCAATCAACAAAATAATATTTAGGGCTACATTAGATCTTAAGTTAATAAAATTGTGCACAAACAAATAACAATAATATAAATTTTTGGACAAAAAGTTACTTTCCTCATCTGTCACCAATTCCCTCAATACATTTCTAACTTTCAAAATTATTCAAAGGTGGCTGGAAATTATTCTAGAAAAATATTTGGTTTGAAAAATGAAAATTAAATGATGCAGTTGGTACCAACAACATATTCGACTAGTTCTGCTACTGAAAAGGGCGCCACAGTAAATGCAAATAAAAGTTTAAAATAGAAAATAAATTACTAATTGCTATTGCTGACATCAATTCCAATTTAAGGCTATCAAAAATATTAAACCTGCATAATGAATAACAGTAATTATTCAGAAATAATTTGTAGATTCACTCAGTGCGAGAGCTATTAAAAATGATTGTCGTTTTGAAGCATTGCAATGCCACAGTGCAGGCTCGAGTGATTGGAGTGCGAAAGCAGTGGAAGCATTGGACAGTGTTAATTTAAAATGTAAAAAATAACTCACATTAGCGAAGCATGCATTTTACCCTCTCACCGTCGTAAAACAACATTTGAAACATTCAGATAAGCTCCACATTTTCCCTGTTACTCCCTCTTTAAGTGGACTTGCTCGAGCTCGGTGTTACACCGTTGTGTCCTGCTTCAGCCTTTGGCTACGGGCCTTGTAAACTTCAATCAGCAGGTCTTTGACGTACTGGATTTCACGTTCTACGGACTCTGCCTTGTCCCGGAGCTCCCGGTTCCTCCCTTCGAGGCCGTGCAGCTGTTCCTCCAGAGTATCGAGCTCCGCCCTCTTTCGCTGGCGATACCTGCGTTCAGGAGAAGAAAGATTAAATTGAGATTTTTGCGTTTAAAATTGGGTCTGAAGTTATGTTTCTTCAAATAGAAATTATGACCGCTCACCTGTGAGCGGCAGTTTTGTTCTGATCTCTCTTCTTCTGTTTGCGTTCCCCGCCTTCACCCGGAGTGTCCACGTCGTATTCGGCATCACAGTGGTCTTCCTTTAGCCTACATGCTGGTCTGTGCCCTGAGGACTCCAAGTTCAGACTCTCCCTGGCCATTAAAAGACACTCTGGGGCCTGATCCTCAAGGAAATTACAGTGTAAATCATGTTGCCTTAACTGTAGACTCTCTGACTTGACCTGTTCATTGACACTGCCTAAGAAGCTAGGATAGGCCTCGGGCTGTGGTGGTGCTGGAAGATAACAGCCTTCGCTGCTCTCAGTTTTCCAACAGACAGTAGCTTTTGTCACCTCCACACTACTCTTGATACTGTTCAGCACCTCGCTGTTACCAGCCACTCCGCTGACCTCCCTCATACTGTACATCAACAAATCCTCTTTCTTGTGTGGGACATCAAGAGATCCGCCAAAGCCAAAACCTCCACCAACAACTTTCGCACCACCAATAACATCTTGACTGAAACAGCAGTTCTCTTCTTTGGCTAGAACGGCACATCGTCTGACTTCAACTGCACTACCCAAGCAATAGTTCTTTCCTACCAGCTGCTCGTCTTCTCCACAGCCATAATTACCTGACAGGTTCACCGCTGAGTTACCTGAGTTACTTCCTTTAGAACTCAACAAACTGTTATCATAACCTTCACCGAACCTCACACCATCAGGGACTCTTTTCCTACCACACCCACTGGGGCGACTGCAGCTGTACGGGGCGTGTCTTGGAATTTTGGATCGCCCAATGGGCCCGCCACAGATACTCAGCAGGTCCAGTTCTCCCGTTGCCAGGGTAACAAGAAGTGGGCTGGATTCCGATTGGTTGGATGTCGAGTATGATGCATACGGCAGCTGATTGTACGGCTGAGGACCCGCCGGCAGAGGACCCCTGTCACATTTCCCCAGCCTCGGCCCCTTTTCGGGCACTGGCTCGGACAGGAAGTAGTCCTCTAGTTGAGCGAGTTCCTCCTGCAGCAGGGAGGTCATGACCTCCAAGTCAGAGGGCACCTGGATATCATTCTGAAGGGGTGAGGGGGGAAGGGAGGCATTGGTGGAGGAGGGAGGGGAAGGGGGGTTTGGGAGGTACGAGGAGAAATCCACTTCTTCCGTCATCCAGTCAGTGAGACCATCACCTATTGAGGAGGGGGGAAAAGTTTAGTCGTTACAAGCTGTCGGGTGGAGAAAAATATTACAGCAAAAAAGTGCTCATAAAAATTTTTAAAAAAAATGAATATAAGTCATCCAACAGCGCATGTCGTTGTTTCCTAAAAGCAAAATCTAATCGACAATAGTTCATGCACAGAAGATTTATTTGTGAATAAAGTTAGAATATATCGGTCGCCTAAATAAGACGAAGCTAGTTTTTACCTACTGTTCGAGAAGGACGTATGTGCTGCAGTGCCGAGCCCACCTGAAATGGGGAAAAATATAAAAAAGCGTACTCACTGCAACTCACCAATTAAGTGCTGACTCTCCTCTGACACCTCCCCCCTGCACCCCTGTGATTGGCTGTGGCTAGCCTGTGGGTGAGAGAGAGCGAGGGGGTCTGCCGGGCAGACACGAAGAGCCTTCCAAACAGGAGCTGATGTTGCCATCATTCTGTCTGCTGGTGCCGCGATTCAGGCCAAGTCCAAGTCCGAGCATGTGCTGAGAGCAAGCGGGGTCTGACAGATGGGCCACAGAGAGCAGGGCTGGATGAGCATAATGAAACCTAGAGGACAAATGGAGACAGCGATCAGAGACAAATAACAGATCCAACTTATTCAGTCGACTTGATGGAATCAGGAAAATCACTCCTGTAGGTGTCGGTGACTTCATCCACATGATTCAGCCTGTTGTGATGGAAAATGAAGACTTTATGTAGAAGGATGATGGTCTTTTGAGCAATCCTAAATATGCACATTTATAGCTGGGATCAATTATTTAAAATAAAAGAAGATAAAAAAATATAAAACAGTCAACAAACAGTCAGAAATAGCAGTCAGGAATTCAGAGGCGAGAGCTGTGTCCTCTGGGACTTTGAACATCCCCAAAGTAAAATGCACTTAAAACACATGGGACCTCGTGACGCTGTCAGGGGCCCAACTGTTGATGAGAGGCTCCAGAGTCACAGTGGATACACAGCACATCTCTAAGTGAGACACACCCTGATCCTTAAATCGGATCAATGCAGATCAGCTGCTTCCAATTACATGTTCCTTTTAAATGAATTACACCAGTTTGATCACTTAAGCTCTTTAAAAGGTCAACAAAGTGATTTCTATGAGAGAGGACAGGAAACTGAGAGTGACAGAAATGTGACGCCATCATCATCCATCATAACGTCACTTATAACACAACTCTCTTATAATTAGACGTTAGAAGAGACTTTGACCCTAAAACACACTGTTAACAAAGTAAACAACACTGGAAGGAACAACAACAAACTTTTCAGACAAATTCAATGAATTCAAAATAGAAGTAGAGAAACCAGCCAAAAAACAAACTCCTCCACACAGACACAAACAAACAGCGATAACTTACTCCATTCTGGCAGGAAAATGTAGAGCACTTGGGGGTGCGTTGCTAAAGCAAAGCACGGTTTTATCTCGGGTTCCACAGCTTCACGAATTCAAAAAGCCATTGCTGCTGTCGTGGTTGTTGTTGTTGTTGTTCAGCTCGGAATTATCCTGGAAACGTTGAGTTGCTGCTTTGTTGTGTTCGAGCAGTAAACTGAGCAGCAGCTTCATAGTGAGGAAGCATCACTTCACTCACACCTAGCAACCCACTGCGTCACCAGGACAACACCAGATCCCTCCGCCCACTCTCGCTGAAGGACGTCCCACCTCCTGCTCACTGCTGCTGCTGCTGCTGCTCCGCCACAAAAGTTAGAGAGCTGCCTCCTCCTGTTTGTCTCTGAACTAAAGTCTGGACGTTAATGACTCGTTTTATCATGAGTGGTCATCCATTGAATCACTGTTCAAATGTTGACACAAAACGGAGATTTCTGTCCACTGTGCTCGCGCTGGATAAAAGGAAACATCAAAGGCATTTAATATAAATTAAACAAATGTGACATTAATTATAAAATTATGATATAGAGGAAGTAGATTATTGCGGAGTCTCCCATTATAGTTTGGTGAAATATTATAGATTTAGATTTAATGATACCTTCTGATATGAATGAATCAATTGAACAGTTCGATTTCAAAGTGGAAAGTGTAAACAAGATAAGTTGCGAGTGCATAAAATGGAAGTCTATCCGTGGTAATCTCAAAAGTACCCCGATTACTGTAACGCGTTACACTTTGTAATCTTTTCCCCTTGTGGTCCTTTGTTGCCAAGGGAGACGGGATGGAGGGCAGATGCGTTTGTTACAGATCAGGATCAGACTCACACCCTAAAACTAACGTCCACAACCTGCACAGAGAGTTTGGATTTACGTGAAAACGACCCTCCAACACGAACCAGTAGAATTCAGATTCTGTACTTTATAGTACGGAGGCCTGGTGTTGTTTTGGAGGGGGACTATTTGATTCACAGCGCACTTTGTTGTTCTGCTCCGTTGCATCTCCGTTGCATCAGTGGTCCACGCTCAAAGCCGATTGGCTGCGCGTGCTGAGGCTGCCGTGCGGCCATTGGTTGGATTCTGTTAGATGTGAATTGTTATTGGTGGATGCCAGGCCAGGCAGGCAGAGCATCGCTGTGGGTTTTTTTTCCTGCAGTGCAGAGTGTGCACATGTTTGAGGTAAACAAACCGGGCGTGGAGCTCAGTGCTGCGGCTCTTTAGAATTTAACAGCTGGTTTATTTCTGTTCAACAGAACATGTGGTCATTAAGTATTTTAAATAAAAGCCTCTGATTATACAGTAAAACAGGTAAATAGGTGTAAATGCCCTGAATTATGTTCTCACTTTTGATTTGCATTTGTGTCTTGATTGAAAATATGTTGTCATCATAGAAATACATTCTAGTCGTATTATTTGTCAATTCCTTTATTAGGATATAATTATGTCAAAATATTTTAGATTTTTATTTTGCCATTTCCACTCAGTAGTTGTCAGCTCGTAACTTCACTAAGACTTTATTTGATAAAATGACACTGAGTCGATGCCCTTGAATTTAAATCAATTGAAGTTAAATCATTCTCTCTTATCCAATAATCTTTTCTTTTTTTTCGTGGCTAAGTTAGTGAGACACATTCATTTATTGGTAAAGACTGTCAATAACAATTATGTGAGGAATAAAGCTTTGTTTTTCTCCTTTCAGCAAATCCCGGAGCTGAGTGAATGTGCTACTCTACTGTTGCTATAGTAATAGCGGACACTGCCCCCTATTTTAGACTTGTTTTCTGGTAGCTGTTGCCATGGGATTTGCATCTCTCTCTCTCCCTCTCTCTCTCCCTCTCCCTCTCTCCCTCCCTCCCTCCCTCCCTCTCTCCCTCTCTCTCTATCTCTACTGGCTGTTTTCCCTCCACCTCTCTTCTGTTTCCATACCCCTCCCTGTCCAACCATTCCACCGACTCATTTGCTGAGTTGCACGTCTGTGACATGATAATTTTGCCAAAACTAATGGGCTTATTTCCAGTTCTGCTGAATTTGCATGTTGATGGGACACTGCAGCCTCTAATGGACTTGTCCGCTGGGCGGTGTGTTTTTGTATCGAGTGAAAGTCGGGAAACATCTAACTTGAATAGATTGCACATAATGACATTATCCAGAATGACCGCGGAGGAGTTGTTTCTAGTCTAGTGAAGCACATCCACTAAATATCTACAGAACCTCAGTATTTGTAGATTATATTGAATCTGAGTGAAATGTTCTGTTGTTTGTGTTAATCTGAGTCATTTAAAGGGACAGCTCTGTTACAGGGGAGCTGTTCAGCAAATCGCCCACCATGTGATCGTTGAGTTTTGAGCAATTTGTAGAAAGGCAACCTGATGCAATCTGGATTAATGTGGTCATAATGGAGACCAGATTGAAACAGCAGTAGCTGGTGAAGTCGAAGGGTCTCCCAGGAAATCGCTGACGGCTCTCTCTGCCTGTGTTAATTGGTCCACTGAGGGCTTCCTGTTTGCGCATCATAAGAATAAGTCCAAGGTGCTGCTCACCACAGTGCTGCAGCGTTTCCCTGTTGTCTCTGCGATCAAGTACAATATCCTTTTCATCATTCAGAAAAAGTTATAAAATAAGTCAAAACACCTTAAATCCTCCCTTTAATTCACTCCAAACAAAACATCCAAACTTATTTATCGCTGAATGAAATTAATGAAAATTATATTTGAGGTGTTTATTATCAGGTTTCTTCAGCAGCAGGAGGCTGCCCATCAAAATTATAAACTCAAATGTATTGTCTGAATATTGTGTATGAGCCCAGAAGTCAGAAAAGTCAATGCTGCATGCCAAGCGCACGTATGGCACGTTAGTGAGGGTTACACCATCATTTCATCATCATCTCCCTCAGAATTTATTGTCCTCAACTTTTTCCCCTCTTTGAACATATGAGGAAAACACGGAATTCACTTACAACTTGTGAATGGGAGGGGATCATCTGTGGATGTTTTCGTGTTTGTGTGTTCAGGCTCCAGCTCATTCTCATTTGTTTCTGGCACGAAAAGTGATAATCAAGCCTCTGGAAAGTAACAAGCATAATATAGGGCTTTTATTCATGAATGTTTATACAATGGCAAAGTCATTTGCACAAAGCCATGACGGATCTGAATCAGTCAGTCACATGGTTATGTTGATTTTACCGTTCCTGGAGGACTTCACGGTGAAGTAGACGTGTGTGATATGAAGGACGAAAGCGTCTGTTGCGTCTTCATTTTGGGTCGTCACAGTTTTTTTTTTTATGAAGGCGTTCAAGGCACATAAATCATTGCTTATTCTAAAGGTCATCCTGTAAAAGTTTACTGTGGGACACTGCAGATAGAAAATTGAGTGTTAATAAAACTAATGTTGGAAAAAAAAATTACATAAATAAATTGAGAAAGACAGAACATCATTAGCGATAGAGGAATCAGAGTTTGAGGTAGATTTATTGATCGTGTTTCATGTGCCTCTTGTGTTTTTTTTAGCGAACACGTCCCAAATGCTTCCTCAGGACACAGCCTGAGTGCTGCAAAGCACTCAGGCTGTGTCCTGCTGCTCTCCAGAGGTTTGACGTCTGTCACTTTTCAGTATTTACACATCTTCATTCATGCCAAGCGCTCCTATAAAGTTTATACAGTGGTGGGATGTCACAAAGTACTTTTACTTCATTACTGTACTTAAATTGTATGCATCTGTACTTTACATGAGTGGAGTTATTTTCAGGTACTTTTCACTTTTACTCCACCACATGTATCAGCAATTATCTGTACTTTCCGCTCCACTACATTTTTACAATGCACTGTTACATGTTCACATTTTTTAAAGTTAGCAATGATTAGGGTTTAATTGGTCCATAAAATCAGAGGAGGCAGGTAACATTAGGCCCCTCCTGCTTTTGCATTAGGGCAGAGGCTCCACTACAGAGTACTTTTACTTTTAATACCTAAAGATTATTTTTTTAAAGTTATCACTTTCACTCAAGTAAAAAGTTATCATGGTACTTTTACTTTAGTAACCACCACTGAGTTTATACAATTGTCATTTTGACTGTAACTACATTTTTATTTCATGTTGAACTTTAAATCCTAAATCATATTATACATAAATGATTAAATCTAATACATCTATTAAGTAAAAACAGCTGGATTAAGTGTACAAAAGAAAGATACAATGTGTGTTCCTCATCATTCATTTGTTCATTGTCACCTAATATTTTAGTTGTGTAGGTGTTGGTTGCGTTCAGACTGGCTCTACATTGATACAGCGTTCAATCTAAATCCTACTTCACTTAACTCACAAGAAAACAACGTGTCTGAGGGCAAAGCTCAAAACCACAAAAGTGATCGAGAAGCAGACAAGAAATACTGAAAAACCGAGCTGGAAAATAATCAATCTTTATCGGATTTATTCACATTAAGATTTAGATGAAAAATATGTTGCTATCCAAAAACTGGATGTTAATAAGAGTGATTACACACAGTATGATATTCCCAATTTTCAATCTGCAGAGAAACTGGTGAGCACTTCACTTTCATTGCTGGTAGTCAATGAAATAAAAAGTATTCTACACTCCCTCAGTTGGCTGCAGCTGTCGTTTTTACAATCTGTATTTTTGTTGGCTTCATTAGGTCAACGCTGGCGCTTCTCCCCTCCGGATATTTTTCACATATTGTTGTTCTCGCCACGAAACTCTCCCCTCCCAAAAAAACATGTTTCTTCTATTACAATTTAATAATCTGTATGCCATGTACCCGATTCTGAATTAATGACTGTCATTTTACACTCTCCTTCAAAGAGAGTGGAGATGGTTTGTTCAAAGCGGTGCGCATTAGGAGCGGAACTTTCTCTGCTGTTTCAGATGCATTTAGATTTGTTTGGAGGCTTTCATCTGCCATGTGTGTGTGTGTGTGTGTGTGTGTGTTTGCATGTGGATGCATGTGTGCGTGTGTGTATGCATGTGTGCGTGTGGGCATGTTTGGGGTTGGCCAGGAGATTTCCTCTCTTTAATCTCCTAAATTACTCTTAACTTTCATGTGGATATGAAAATGTATAAATTACAAACGTCTGTGGTGAAATGTTGTGATGGGTGAGGGAGCGAAGGATTTGACAGGTGATTTAACTATGAACTTGCCCTCTGAGCCGAGAGACGTCTCCATTTCATCAGAGCGCCTGAGCTTGTTTTCAGACGAGGTTAATATCCCCCCATTAATACTGACAAAACCATGAGAGACCTTCACTAATTCAGCGCCTGCACCATCAAGCTCGTGTTCCAGAGGCCTAAGGGAAAGGCCGGTCTGCATGTTTAACAGTGATCACCCTTGGCTCATTAATAATTCACCAACAATAAGGCTGGCTGTCACACATGCTCATCACCACGGTAATGAGCTCACGTTGATCTGTTTATTATTCAGATGGGCGCACCGGCAACTCAAAGACACTGATAATAACATTGTGAACGTCTCTCCCAAGGTCAGAGAGACGCAGATGTTTTGAGCGCTGTCAGTGAAGCTGCAGATACTTCTGACGTTTTTAAATACCTGAATTAGATTCTCATTTGAATCACGAACACTATGCACCCAGGGATTTTTAAAGTGAATATTTCCAGTGCTGAGTCTAATCGATACCTGTCAGGAGCAAAGGTGTGTTTCAGAGCTTACATCTGTTAAACGTTTCGACAAGCCCTGCGATAACTTCATTTAACAGCCCCGCTCGACTAATTATTATCTGTCTGCACGTGCACATCTCTATCATAGTTTTATACCAGGGGCGTGAGTAAAGAAATAACATGTGAATATATTTTCATACAGGAATTAATATTAAAAAAAATTGTTTATGGAGAATTTGTGCCAGACATCTTCTCCATGACTTGCCCCCCCCCCCCTTCACATGTGAAATTTCTCGATGTTGAATCATACATGTTAAGTTGCATGTAATTTCACTACATGTTTATTTTTTATTCTCATTTTTTAAAATAGACTAGTTCATGGCAAGACATCAAATGAATTACACTGAGCCAGGAACACATGGCTTCAGTTCTTCTACAACAACATCTACAGTTAACGACTTAATGAGATCATTGACTAATTCAACCACCTGACTATTGTGTAAATAGACGAGTTGTAGTGTCTTGAAGCGAACACCTTTTGTGTGCTCTCCATTAAACATGAATGTCTGGAGCTTATTAGGTTGTTTAAAGAAAGCTGGAAAAAATTAATGACTTGTTAGTGAGAAACACTTATTAAGGAAGGAGCTGGTTTGTAAGTGAATGTCTTTTGTCAGATAAACAAAACATCAGATGCATCATATACTTTTATTTATTAGATATACACGGTAGTTTTACATTACATCATTACAGGACTTTAATTTAAGATTTCTGTTAAAAAGCAGCTAAGTTTTTCTTTTTAAAATACAATTATCTGAATGAAAAGCCCTTATAATATTACACTGTATATTGAGTGATATTAAAATCTGTATTGTAAAAATCTGATAAAAACATTTCATAAAGTATTTGGCACCAAAGCTGCATAATATATGACTCTTTAAAAATATTTTAAGAATATTTGCTACAAAAACAGTTTTTCTTTTAGTGATTTTGACATATTTAAAGACGCTTTTTTAAATCGTAAGGTTAACAAACAGCAGGGAAAAGTACAAATGTATCAAAAAGAGAAAAAAGTCATCATCAGTTAGAGTGATAGCACTGCACATGCACAGATCGGCTTCAGAGGTGTAAAGCGTTTGAGCTTATGAAGTAAGAAATGTTCAGAGTGTTCCTCCAGAAACCTCCAAAATTATATTGTAATTATTGAAAATACATTTTGGTAATAGAATGTGTTTAATACGGTTTTGTTTGTAGGAAGCTCCCTTCATAAATCCAAAGGCAGGTTGCTCAGTCTGTTTTCCAACTCAGGAATTCTTTCAAAAAAAGCACCTTTGTCAAGACTAAGCCTTCATTTGCACCAAAACATCCGGCCTCTTTTATGTGGGCACCAGATCATTCGTCTCCTCAGACATCCATCCATGACACATCTGCCGCATGTCCTCAGCTCCAGCTCCAGCCCCAGCAGGGGAGCAGCTCAGGTTGCCGTGCAGGTGTCTCGGTGATCGCTCAGTCCCAATCATCCTCCAAACCTGTCTCCCGACGCGTGGTCCCTCAGCTCATGAACTGCGTGTAGCCTTCGGCGCCCGTTACTATGACATCCATCCATATCCTCATGGCCTCCGGGGACGGGGCCACCATGTAGTAGAGGCGGTCGTGAGTTTTCACGCAGAAGGTCAAAGATGGATTGGGGCTCTGGAGGATCACAGAGGGACAGAGAGGGAGACAAGTTATAGACCAGAGACTGCAGCTGCACCTGTTGCACCTTTTTCCTCCGAGACATTTGTCAGAAAAAAATACATTAATATGCTTGCTGACACATAATTGGGTCCAAAAGTCTGTTTCAAAATGATTGTTGAATATAGTCTTTAGACTTTTGTAAAATAAGATAATAATATTCATTAATTTAGGTTTTAAATTGCAAATCCAACCAAATCAACTCAGAATCACAGACACTCAGTTTTATTCTATAATTATCATATCTTCTATTTTGATAAAAAAGCTAAATTATATTGTTAAAATAAGCTTCATTATTAGTCACTGTAAAAGTTACAGCTGGTCCAAACCCTTCATTTATAATGGATGGTTTTGAGAAAAGAACATCTGTGATTTTAAAATCATAAAAAATGTTTCCCCTAATTTGATTAAACAACATTTTGAATCTTAACCCCTCAGATCTTATTCCATTAAATCTATGATATAATAATAGCCTATTATAAGATAGAATAGAGAGTGTTTACCTTGGTGGCACTGCGTAGGTGATCATAATAAACCTCTTCAATCGCCTGAAAGTAAATGAGTCCTTTCAGCTTGGTTTCATGCTTGTCTGAGAGGAGAAAAAGAAAAAAAAATATTAAGATACATTATATTACGTCTTGTACTGATGCAAGACCTCTGCCAGTCTGAGCTCCAGACAGTACAACCAGCCGCAACTCTGGGAATACAGCTCATGTTTGTTTTTGGACAGATTGTCAAAGCCTGAATTCTTTTTAAAACAGATATTTATCATTTCATAATTAGCCATGGATCCCCCAAAAATATTTTATATGCAAATATTCACTTTCCAAAAAATTATCTAAATACATTTTGGCCATATTATAATAAAAAAAGGCAACTGTAAGAAAAATATATTTACAACTCCTCGGGTTGGAAAAGGCCTAACAGATAAAGTGCTGTGTAATGTCATACACAGTATCCAACAATTTACAGCAAGTTCTAGCAGAAATAAAAGTTGTATGATCTGATTTATCCCAGATGAGATTGTTTTGTACCTAAAATGGGACTTTAGGAAGGATTCTAGGTAAAAGCCAGGAATCGTATCTTCTTGTAGACATGTGATTCCCCATCACTCTTTAAATTTAGGATCAAGATCAAACGAATTTATTATCTTATTTGCTGTTGGGTTTTTTTATCATTAACAATGATTCTATTTCAATATACTAAAAATTGCCCTCAGGAGTGAACAGTTGGTGAACAGCAGATTTACTTGAATGGATGAGTATTTGTTTCTGCCTTAATTTGGTTACTCAGAGTAATTTTCTGTCTTTTTAAGTTATTATTTCTCTCCAACTATTTTACCAGATATAAAATTAATAATACTTGAAAAACGGTTGCAGTTTGAGTAAAACTGAAGAATAAGTGAATGTGGATGGAGAAACCAGATACAAGAAAAAGGAGAAAGGTGTTTAACCCCCACTTTTCCCAGCAACACATACCCCATGAATAGGTATGAGCAGCAGTGGATCAGAGTAAAAGTTAATTAAAAGTGCAGGTCTATTTCAAGCTATGCCTCAAGTCTTTGCCATCCTATTAATTTGACTTGTTTTCTTCAGTCGTGCTTTTTTTTTTTTGTCCCTGCTGGCGAGGTTGAGATCTTTTGTAAATCTTAAAAAGAAAAGCCTCTTTTGGATTTGATCTTCAACATTTCCCTTAAAGCAGGTCAGAGCTCGTGTCCAGTCCACAGGAGTTTGTCTCTCTTCACAGCATGTACCTATAAGCAGTTTTATGTCACTCCGACACTGAGGAGTTTTGTGTTTCCGTAAATTTGGTGGACGGATCTCAGCAGATGCAATTACAGGATTGATGTTTTTTTCTAGTTTGAGGCTAAACTAAAGGCGTTTAAGTGTGAAAGAGACTTTTCCTTCTCTCAGATCAATTTTCTTCAAGTTACCTCAGTTTAAAGAGTTTCTGTCTGATTCCAGTCTTATTCAAACAAACAGTGGCCCTTTTCTTTCAGCCTCCTCCAGTGCATGCTGCGGTGCCCGGCTCAGAAACAAACACCCAGCGACAATTAAAAGGCAATCTTTTGAAATACGCTCAACACTTTCTCTCGTTCTCCCTCTTCCATAAGTCAAATCTGCTTAGTAATGAGATAAATGTTTTTGAAATGTGAGTTTCGTTTTATTAGTCACGAACAAGCCAGGAGCTAGCCTCCTCCCCAAGAAAAACACATCCAGAGAAAGTATTGCATCTTATTTCATCACCATCATCACCACCATCATCTTCGTCAGGAGTGAGGGGGTGAAAAGGCTAGGCAAGAGAGGAGAAAGAGAGAGGGGAGCGAAGAGAAGAGGGGCGTCAGTAATGAAAATATACTCGGATTGTTTCGAACTTTGTGTCTCAAAATGTGACGGTCAATTATTCAAACTAAATGTTCTCATTTCAAACGCCGAGGACGGTTTCGATGTGATTTGCCAACTAACTTACAACAGCAACAGCGAGGCGGAAAATTCCACTTTGTGCAGCATTATTTTCTGTTTGGTTCCTGATGAATAAAGAGGAGTGAGGACAAACACAACTTAGACGAAGTGAAACAAAGAAGTCAGGTCTCAGCCTGGTGAACACCAGGAAAGTTTTCAAAATAAAGTTTATGCATAAGCAGATGTAGGATTTTTCTAGATCAGGGGCCACAATTTAAACAGAGGGGCTGAAAAAATGTCCAACATCCATGAACAATTCCTGATTTAGTAAAGTGCACATTTAAATTATTTCTTGTTAGAAACTGTTAGCTCTATAACTTTGAACAAAACCACACATCGTTAAATATGTTTTGAAAATAGTTTCTTGTTCAGGCACAATGTGTTCTTTAAAAAAAGTTTTGAAAATATATTTTTGTTAGTATTGTGAGTAAGTGACAATTTAAAGCCTACTGACAGAACAGGGGCACTTCAGGGGCTAGTCAGATTTCAGATGGGCTAGTGCCCCCTGACCCCGCCCCTGGATCCGGCCCTGAGATAATGCCAATCAGTGAATTGTTCGATCACATTCATCTGAAGCCATTTCTACGAGGCCCAAGTTGTGAATTGGACGAGTCCGCCCGAGCACAACTTCCACATTCCTTTACGGTGAGTTTAAAAAGTTCAGTTCAGTGAAGAAGTTTAGTGAAAGTTCCGTCAGGAACAATGTCTCCTTGTCTCCTGAATCATATGCACAGTTCTCACTGTCTCTAAGCTCCATCAACTCATTCTCTCTTTTCATCCAATCACAACCTGACTCACTCACATTGAGCCAATCACTTGTGAGCTGTCAATGTTTAAAACGTTCTGTCTCCCTCCTGTCATTCAGCTGTCAATTCAGTCCCATCGCCACCCCAAACTGTCCAATCAGAAGCCTCCATGAGACATCCTGACTTCATGCTCCTTCCTCATCACATCCACCAGTGTCGAGGCTCTGAGTGTAAGTCTCCTTCATCTGAAGCACTTAATTCATAGGACTGACTCCATGGTGGTCTACTTGCTGGGGCCCACGCTCCAAAGTCTATTCCTCCTGTTCACAATACATTTAATTTCATTCTGATTTACTCATTCTCATTTGTTTCTCTCTTAATTGAAATCCTAACGCTCCTTCATCCAGTTCAGTCCTGGTGGTGCAGAGAGAAGTTTTTAACACAGTGCAACTTTAAGGCCTCAGGGGCATGAAAGAGGAGGGGGGGGGTGTTTTTATTCAAGTTGTTCTGCAAACTTGCAGATTTTGAAATGCACTTTGATGTCACATGTCACATATTAAAACTTTTCTGAACTGATTTTACAAGTTCTTGAATGTCGTGTATGTAGGGATGTAAGTGTTCCAGCTATCAGGAAGAAAATCCAACAATTCATTTTACATGAGGTGACTTGACCCACTTCTCTAAAGCACTGGAGACTCCTGACAGAAGGAGTTCACACAGTCAGAACCACAAACACACATAATTCTATGGAAAGACTCTCAATCAAGCGTGTTTAGTGTTTAGAGGACACAAGAAGTAACGTGTCAGAGGAAGGTTAGAAAAAAACCCTTCTTCATATGAGTGTAAGTCCTCCTAACAATTGATATTTAAGCTTAAATTTACCCACATTTCAGAAATGAAAACATATCCTCACCAGCGTAATAACAGAAGTTCCTCTTGAGACGGTCAAAAACGAACCAGCGTTTCTTCCACGATTTGATTTTACCACCCATCTTCACCAGGTGGCCCTTACACATCTTCTCGGTGAGGTTGACGAAGGGGCAGGTGTCGATGCTGTGGCCGGACGACTCCACGTGGGCGCGCAAGTCAAACTCCTCCTTACGGTTGGGCAGGTAGCGCGTCATTGGACGAGCCTGTGAATAAAATGTGTCATGATGTTACTCATAGACTGTGTGCTGTTAATGCTACGAAATAATGTGACTTATGGGAATAATCAGTAGAGCTTTAGTGGTTTTGGTCGAGTTCAGGTCAGAGCCCAATATGTTGCAGCTAAATTTCAAATAAAGAAGGCGTTTAGGTCTGTGCTCAGTGGATCAGGGAAGAAGCCATTCTATTAACACAAGTCAAGATTTGAGTCCGTAGGGATTCAGAAATCTCAGAGCAGTCAGACACAGGTCAGATGTCATGTTCCTATCTGTTTCCTATATGTTGGCCACTTGGTATAATACTGATATACTGTCAGCATTCATTTGGAGTCATGTTTCTGGCCAGAAATGCTTGAGGTGTAGTAGATCTAATTTTCTTTGTGTTCATCAACTACTAAGGGAGATATCTTCATCCGCTATAACCTCTACATTTTGCTGTATATTGTTAGGTGCTGTTAAAGAAAAGAAACATATCGATGATTAAAGTGCTGAGAATGAACAAATGCGGTGAGGGCAGTGAAACCAAAACAAGGAGCTGAAAGACACTAAAAAGCTGTGGAAGACTTTCTGGGTTCATCAGTATGAGCAACAACTTTCACATAAGTTCATCACTTTCTTTAACATAGTGAATCATTGTCATTGATTTCTCAGAGAATAATAATAATGGATGAAAAAAATCAGGCAGGTTTAGGGGCCTGATATTTATAAATGTGTGCAATTTGGTGCAGATCAAAATAAAGATTTGTGTCTAGTGAATTTAAATACAGTTTCATAAAGGGACTGTTGAGCCTTGGCAGAGTCTGGGAGCTTTTCTAGTTTGATCTGTTATTGATAATGAAAGTGTTGTCTAGAACTAATCTAAATACATTGAGCAACACGTTGTGTTGATATTTGAGCATATTTGTTTGCTTGTACTCAGAGAGAAGCTGGTACTCAAACACAATCATGTTAAAGGGTGATGTATCTCATATATGTGTTTTACTCCCCTCAACCCCACCCATTTCTCTCTGCTCTTTCTCTCGGCCTCTCCTCTCTTCCCTCCTTTCTCTCCCCCTTTGTGTCCCTTCCCTGACCATCTTTGATCTTCTCATCCACCCAGCCTCTCTTTAGTGTCTCGCCTCTTATCCTCTCCCCTAAGTCTCCCTCCCTCGCTCCCTCCTTCCTTCTCGCCGCCGCTGTCTCCTCCCGCTGCTCCACTGACCTGGGAGAAGTGTTTCTCTCTCATCTTCACCTCCTCCTCCACCAGCCTCTGCCTGTGGGCCGTCTCGTCCAGAAGCCTCCTCTCGGCCTCCTCCCGCCTCCTCCGCTCCTCCTCCAACATCTGCCGCCGAGCCTGCACCTCCCTCTCCTGGGAGCATTGGGAGAGGGGAGAGGAGAGAGGGAGGAACAGATGGGGGAGGAGGGAAGAAAAATAACAGGGAGATGGGGAGAATATGTTAATGGTAGGCAAATATTGCAATACAAAGTGGATGACTGTCAGAGGAGGAACATGAGAATTCAAGTCCCAATCCAGGGTTTTGTAAAATGTATCCCTCAAGTCTGTGTATAAAGAAGCTTTGCTGATGTAAAATGATCCTTTGCTGCTTTCAGACACTTTCAACAAGATTTTTCAAAGCACTGCTCAGAACTTCACCTTATGATCACTGATCAGACTGTTTTTAAGACACACAAAACTTTTACCAAAATCCACATTCAGTAGACCTGGTTGGTATATATATATTTGTCTAATAATAATAACAGAAATACAAATAATATTGTGATAGACTTGTGACAATCTATATCAGGATATCATCATAACCATACAAATACTCATATTTAATACTAAATATGTGTATGGCTGAAAAATACATAGTGTAAAACTGTGTAAATGTTTCCCACTAGCACAGCTTTTGTTACACTGATCACAGTTACCATTGAAACAAAGCGGCAACTAACCATTATTTTCTTGAGCAATAAATTTATTAATCTAATTAATCCATCCAAAAATAATCAATTTAATAGCTTTGTTGGAAAATGTTGGCTAGAAAATATTGACAAATGCCTGCTCTAATTTGAAGGAGATCTTTTTCATATTGTTTGCTAAGATAGTTTGTAAGTTTGTGGTTTTTACTTTGAAATGATTCAAACTATCAATCATGAAGGCAGATGTCAATGAATCCTCTGTCTCTTATTGATTAATCCACTAATCACTGCAGCTCTAGCTGAAACTTCAGATGATCATGGAGATTATGTTTTGGACGTGATGGAATAACTGATGTCCAGTCGTGTTCACGTCTAAACTCTGCAGCACTAACGCTGGTCACTCACTCTGTTCTCCACAAGTCTTGCTTTCTCCTGCTGCGCCTCCTTCAACATCTTCTCCATCTCCTCTATCCTCTGGGCCTCTAACCCACAGGCACTGCAACACACAGAGAGAAGCGGCCTCTGATGACACAGCTATATGACACAAGGCCTGGGATGAAAAAAGTACACAGACATGCCCGGAGACCAAAAACAGGAAGGAGACAAAGACAAACTGAGTCTTTGAACTTCACAAAAAAAAAACATGAAGAGGTTGGCATGGCAACAGCTTGTACTTGTAGTCACAGGAGCAGACGTGTAACGGAACATGATGTCATTGTGAAAAAAAAAGCACAGTGACCCTTCTCCAGGAAGACAGGGCAGACTTGAGTGTTCCCATGGTAACAGAGCCAGCCTCTGATTTTCCAGTCTCTCACCTTTCAGGGGTGCAGGCGGAGTTGCCGGTGGAGACGCTGGTCTCCATGCTGTCTGAGCTCTCCAGACTCAGGGTGTCGTACGCCTGGTTTCCACTCGGTGGCGACTGATGATGTAGGATGGAGTGATTGACAGTGGGAGACACATCTGTGCAGGCAGAGAGGCAGAGACAGCCGTCACAGACTCACAGTGCCCTCTACTGATGGTGCCAAGTCACTGCTACCATTTGGTTATAATCAGATAATCAGACACAGATCATGTTAAACTAAGTGGAACTAATTAAAATAAGTTGTACTGAGTACTAAGTTGTATACGTAACTAATTAAAATGACCACAGCTCTCCTCTGTTACAAGGTCACATGGTCACACCCAGGGAAAGTCTCCAGCGTGCTAAATAAATAAGATGAAGACTGAAGGAGTCGAGTACCTTTGCTCTGTATAACCATCTGCCTCCTGGACTCCATGTCTAACGGTGTTGACATCTCTCCCAGCGCTAACTGTAACCCCTGAGAAACACGTGGAAGGCATCACACAGTGAAGCACCTTTAAAGATTCCATTACATGTCAGGTGTGTGGAGCAGACGGACTCACCTTGGTGTTTCTCTCATGAGCGCTGGAGTGTGGCAGGGATGCAGCACTGCTGACATGAGCGCATGACGCCGCCAGTCCAACCTCGCCATCTGATTTGGACTTCAACAACTACGGGTAGAAAGACACATCAGTTTTTTATTTGTTTTAATTTGAGAGGTTCTGCACAAAAAAAGACGAAAGACCAAGTCAAGTTCAGCATCAATCTGACCTGTGACCTCGCTCTTTCCGGGTCTGATCAGTTAGTGACTTGAGTCTGTCCTCCAGGTTGCACCTTTTCAGCCAAGGGCAACATTGACTAACATGATCTCAGTCATGTGAGCTGAAAGACTTACTTGTCCTGCTCACCTCATTTTTTTAAAGGCCCTCTCATGTGCTTCACTTTGTGGCTTCACAATTGAGTACCAGATTGAATGTTAAACTTTTATCAATGTCTCTTCTTGACATTTCCTTTTTAATCCATATGTCTCAGTGAAAGGTACAACTTGTCACATTTTATCTTTTATTGTAACAGGAGATACATGAACTGCCTCGTTCTGATGGAAGTGTTAGCCTGGTTTTGGATTAAGTATGGTTTTAAGATCTCATTTCACTGCCCATATGCTTCAATTTCTATCAAATTTTAAAGTCTGTTTATATGTTTAGGCCATGCTTAGATTTATTTCTTCTATTTATTGTACTTTTATTGTTTTTATTACTTTTAAAATCTACTCTATGGAAATCTCTTTGTGAGCATTTTATTTGTCATGTCTATTCTTTGCTCATCAGTCAGTTGTGAGGCACTTTGAACTGCACTAATTTGTGTGAAAGGTGCTACACAAATAAAGTTTGTTTTATTGATCGAGACAGAAGTAAAGATGCGAGCAAGTGACATAGGAGATTTTACCTGCCCGTGTCTGCGTGCAGAAAAAGACTTGGCAGGCAGCGGTGGAGGACACGACTGAGCCTCTCCAGCCGCCATGATGTCCTGGTACCAGCGCTCGAGATTAATAGGAGGCATTGCATTCCTGCTCAGCTCAGGCTGACTCTGAGGTGATGAGAGGCACCCAGCCAAAGAGAAGAGAGGAAGCGGTGAAGCAAGAGCAGTAAGAGAAGCATAAGGTGAGGAGGAAATATCTTTATGGATCGGTTCTTGTGGCATTATCACATCAGAAATGCAGAAAGTCATTGGACATCATGAAGTGGGAGAAAAACAAACCTGTGCAGAGAGAAAGGAGGAAGGACCACATGCAGCTGAGTGGCAGGAGAAGACAGATTCAGAGGAGGCAAGGTGGAATGATGGAATAGAGGCAGAGGAGGAGGGATTCAGTCTCTGCATCCCAAAGATCTGACTTAATTGACTGACTGTGATGTACTCCTTCACACAGATGACACAAAGGGAGAAGAAAGTGGAAAAGAAAGTTCAGAGGTTGGGACATATTTCGAGATGATATTGATTTGCTTCAGTGGTTTCAGTATTTAGCACATAGATCAGTCAGAGGAGGATATGGACGGTGTGGCAGGAAGCAGGCAGGGTGTCTACCTCGCATGGCAGAGCTGGAGATACAGAGAGGGAGAGGCAGTGGAGAGCAGCAGGGGGGGAAGAGTGAGGCTGCACAGAAGCATTTCCATACATCTTATAGACATCAGACAGCCTGAGGTACTCCTGCATCGACGGCCAAAAGAGACAGGGATGAGAGGGCAGGAGACAACAAACTGTCAACGCCTAGAAAGGTCATGCAAAGACTCACAAAGCAAACGTGAACATATCAGAACTTCAGTCTTGAAAAAGATTAAATTAAGAAAGAAATATAAATATATAGCAGCTGCTTCATAGTTTATTACCTCTGTCAAAGAGGGTATTTCACCCATCGTCTTGTTTTGTTTGTTTGTGAGCAAGGTTACACAAAAACAACTAGACGGATTACAATGAAACTTTTTTTTACATATACCACTATGATGTTAGTTTATGTCAAAGAAAACAATCCTTCAATCCCCATTAAATTTAAACAGAATAACCACTAATTTGAAGAATGCATAATCCTTTCAAGTTTAAACAAACATTATATACGGAGAATATTCACACTGCAAGCTCACTAATTTTTGTCAGTATCTGCTTGGACACCATCATGCCTATTTTTATTGCAGAAACAGCCGCACAGGCACTATTAGGGTTTGTTAGGTTTTGTTGGGATTTACCTCTTGTAGTCTAACAGGGTAGAGTTCAGGGGAGGGGATGTGAGAGGAGGAGGAGGAGAAGGAGGCAGAGGAGGGACAGGGGCTATCAGGAGGACCGTCCACATAGACAAGGTCAGGTTCGCTGATGTGAAGCAATTCCTGTTTAAAAAGTTCATCTGAGTTTGTTTTTTTTTCTTCTTTAATCCACTTTTGTAGTAATTTCTCTACAGTTTAGTAATCACAGCTCATGTAATGTCTCACACGTGTTCCCACCCACCTCCTTCATGCTGCTGCTGGGCTTCAGGTAACTTCTCTCTCCAGTCAGTGTGTGGTGCCTCTTCTCCAGAGCACACAACCTGTCTTGCTCCTGGTTGGCAGAAGCAACATAAATAGACAGATGCATTCACCATTTTGCTATAGCTACCAGCATTCCTTGCAGCACTGTTATGTGTTAAATACATTGCAGTTATGACAAGGTTCATTATGAGCAGTTAACCTTGTGTAACAGCTGCAGAGACACCGTCCTGTCTCTAACCATCCTCTCACAGTCTTGAGCTGCCTGTAACCCCAGCTGCTTCACCTGAGCCTCCAGCGTGGCCATCTTCTCCTGTGAATCCACATGTCACACTGTGAGGTCACACTCACATATGATTTAACGCTCATATTCTGTATGTGTGTGTTCCCACCTTCCTCCGGGCCACGCTGCAGTGGTACTCGGCTCTCTCTTGGAGGAGCTGCGAACTCTGCGTCTCCTTCTTCTCCTCCAAACTGCTCTCCTCCTCCAGCTGACAGAACTCCAGCTCCTCAAACTGTTTGGTCCCACACTCCACAGCTTCAGCTTTCTGTCCACATACAAATGCACACACATTGCATGAAACCACTGAAATCACTGAGTTATTGAAGGATGGTTGATGGCAATATTGTATATTCTTCTGCTTGTTAACAAAGCTCCTGAGAAGACAAATAGCAAAATTGAATGGTTCTGGCTAACTGCTGCTGTCAGTTTTTCCAAAGACTACAGTTATCCACTATTAAATGTAAACTTGAAACAATATCAACCAGTGTTGCAAGTGATGGTTCCTACTGAAATGCTGGAAAGCAAGTATTGAGAGGACTATAACACGTATTGTTGTTTATGCACAAGTATAAAAACACAGGAAACAAAAGCCTCAGCCTTTAAAGGAGACACATTAAGCTCATATTCAGGCTTCTCATGTTCAGAAAATGCATCACTTCCCTCATGCTGTGCAGCACATCTCTTCAGCCTCTGTCTGAAACGCTTGGTTTTAGCTCCTGTCTCTTTAACAACCCCCTCCCAATAAAGCCCAGTCTGCTCTGATTGGCCAAATGGTTCACTCTGCTGTGATTGGTGAGCAAATGTATGAAATGTCGGCCCCTGCTCTCTCTTCACATGGCTTTGTTAAGCTGTTGTTATGCTTGACAGGCCAACTGTGACATCAGCTCAACATTTGATTCTCTTGCTTGAGGGATTGTGACTTGGTGTCGTGTTCTCCTGAGTGGTAGATGTCACAGTTTAAAAAAATACAACCACACCACTGGAGAGAGGTCACACAAACAGAATGGTGTTGGCACTGGCTTCTTTCCTTGAGGGGCACCCCTTCAGGCTTGTGTGTGCTTCTTTGCCTTGATAAACCATTGACTGAGAATGTGCCATACTTGCTCCAAATGCCTCTTCTTTACCAACAGTCTCTGCAATCTCCTTCCAGATGTCTGTAGAGACAGACTGGTTTACAGACTCTTGCCTCCATCGTACCACACATGCGTTTTTAAAAAGGTTAGGAGGTGCGCTACCATCCAAAACGTTGATGTGTAAGTGCAACTGTGGAAGTGAAGTTGTTTCTGGTGTCCGCCACTGCACGCAAAGAAAGACACAAAGAGCATCAACTCATTTTTAAGGGGTGCCTCGGACAAGCTGCTTGGTGTACATTATGCAAACATCAGGTATTGTGTTGTCATGTCAGAGGATTTCCCTTCACTGTGCACTTTGGGCTTTTTAACTTTGCAGAACTTTTCATACACAAAAACCTATACAACAAAAAAGAGGAAAGAAACACTGAAAATGCATCATATGTCTCCTTTAAAGTTCATAAGGAAATAGCAGCTATTTCATTCCATCAGTTGTTAAAATGTTCTGCAGGTGACTTAAATATTAATCAGTTTTCAAAGCAGGAGGCATGCAAACCTTTAGAGCAAAGCTGTTAACATTATTATTATAATTATGATGATTAATACTGATTGCAACTGGCAGAGTCAAGCATCCAGAATGAGGGAAAAGCAACAATCAAGCAGAATCTAAAACTGCTGCTGGAGAAGCAAAAGCCTCAAGCTTATAAATGGCTCTGACATAATGAACCTTAACAAGTTCAAGGGGCCACAGCAGAAAGAGAGGAAATGCCGCCTGCAGGTTTATAAGTTGCTTCACAACAAAGTCAGTGTTATGTCTGTGGCTGTTTCTGTGCAGTTCATACAGTACTGTGGTATTTGGTACATTATAACTCACTGTTGCCAGCCAGTGGGCTGCGTGAGAACACTGACCCTGCTGAGCTGCTCCTGTAACTGTTCCCTTAGAGACAAGGGGCACTTATCAAACTGCCTCTTCAGCTCATTGTACTCATTCCTCTGCTTTTCCAGGGCCTTCCGCTGAGCCGACACATTAGCCCTGCCCTAAAAACACATGGAAACACACACACATGTACACACACAAATTGGGTCCGCATCCAGACACACACCACCCCAGGGAGAAACAAAAAAAAATCACAGACATCTTCAGTCCATGCAGCCAAGCTTCAACACTAACAAGCCAAGGCAGTTAAAGTATTAGTTGTAGCAGAGGTTAGGGTTTGCAGGAGTGTTACGGTTTTCTTTAAACATTAGATGACGGAAAAAAAGATATGAGAATGTCTGAATCAACATTTTAGTGTGACACACATCCAGATAAAAAAGACTTAAACTGTTTTTGTCTTTTCAAACACAGGAACTGCCGGACACCGCAGAGAGAAGACAGTGCTTTGTGTTTCAGGACAGACATGTACTGAATAAGCAGTGCAAGTCAATGGGAATATCAGACACTGAATATCGACACTGTTTGCACATTCGTGAAGAAGTGAGTTTTTATATTCACACACAGAGACTGAAGGACATGTCCAACATTCACGTGCAGGAACCAGTGAGTGATTCCATTGGGTTTTACAGTATCACATTCCTCTGTGTCGGGGGTACCTACCTCGTCCTTCTCTCTCTGGATGGCCTTGTCCAGCTGGTTGAGTTTGAGCTGCAGCTGAGAGATGATTTCATTCTCAGCCTCCACCTGCTCCTGCTCTGCCCGCCTCTCGGCCTGCAGCAGAGCCTGCTCCATCTCCGTCTGCAGACGAATACGCTGAATAAACGCTTGGTGAAGGTGAAACAGCTTTCTGTCCTCTCACTGTGAGGGTCAGTTGATCCAAGCAAATACAATTTTTTGTGTGTGTGTGTGTGTGTGTGTGTCCTGACCTCCTGTTTGGTCTCTTGTAGCTGCTGCTCCAGTTCACTGACTCTGTGCTTCAAGTCATCAACTCTGAACAAGATCCTGCTCCTCTCCTCCTCCAGGTAGACGTGCTCCTGACCAGCCAACAGCTCTTCACACTGACACCAGATTTATGAAATTAACTTTGTCAGAGAAAAACCCAAACAATGATATTCTCTCCCTCCATGTGTATGAGTGTGTTTCTTACCTCCTGGTGTGTGCTCTCTGTGCTGCTGGACTCCTCTCTCTGGGTGTCCTCATCATTCTGCCTCGCCCTCTGAGGCCCATCTCCACCCGGGAGGAACATCTCGTCTCCCGTGCCTGTGCAGACTCCTACAGCGCCCCCCAGCAGCCCACTCCTCACCACCTCGGCCAACTCCACTGCACTGCCCTCCTGATTATACTCTGCACAAAGGTTGAGGATGGTCTCCAACCTCTGTCGCTCCTGCGGAAGACATTCGAGACGTAAGTGTGCCGTCCTACGTCATAGATCATATTGCAGATTAGCTTTGGATGTCCTTGAGTGACTTTGGCCCATTTAGGCAGCTGTCCCTCCACCACTGGCACGGGACCACTGTAACCTGATCGCAGGAGGGGGGCCGAGGTTTGTCTCTCAGGAGGGGGTTCATAGTAAAAACTGTGAGAGCGTGAGTTGTTTATGAACACAGAATTTGACAGACTGTGATAACTGTCGGAGAGACATTGCTGAATAACAGTATCTCAGATTGCACTATACACCAGTTGTTATTCTGATCAGAGACACTTTAAATGTTTTATACACCCTTGTTTCGTGTCTCCACTGTGCCAGCCTGTCGTCTTTCATCACTCAAAACAATGGGATGCTCGCTGAACTCTGACAATAATTACAAAGTAGAGTCTGGCACAACGAGGAGTCTCATGTTGTTTCAAGAACCATCAGCATCTGTTTGTCTGGTATTTAAATTACCAATTTACTTTAACTGCGAGATTTACACCTTATGACTGTTATTTATGCTCTTGTCTAAGTCATTCTTTGCTGAAAAGCAGCAGTTTTATATATTCATCTGAACTGACAGGTTCATTAAAACATAGACAAAAAGCTAAACATATTATTATATCTTAAGTTAACTACTAGATCCAGTAGTAGAAGGAGTGATGAACTTTTCTATTACTTCTCCTTTGCTTTAGCCATGTCATTTACTTATACTGAGAGGGGAAATGCAGACCAGGTTTTTTAAAGTGCAGCAATATCAGTGTGTGTAGGTTAGATTCAATAAAGTGAGAGAAAGAATTAAATCCTGCATATCTGTGCCAAGTGTGCCAAGAGAGCAGTCAGCCAGGTATAGAGAATTGGTTTCACTGGGAGGAAATCCTTTCTATGTCCCTCTCATCTAAAGGTCTACACTTTATCAAATCAAGAACCTAATACCAGACCCCAAATATGGTTCCACCAGCCTGTTTGTCGTTTAATGTATTATATGAGCGGTAATACACTGTGTATATATAAATGTGACAGGAATAACAGGAGAGCTAGAGCTGCTAAAATTGAGCCTCTGTAGAGCAGAAGCATCCGCCAAGGCCCAACAAGCCCTTAAATTCAATCAAGCTGCGCCAAATTCCACACACTCATATCAGTTCCCCATGCAATGGAGTGAATATGTGACGGCACAAATAGAATCTAAGCAACAAATCAACAGGGGAAGAAATATCTGTCATTTTTTGTGTTTGAGGAAGTGAGGTCTTACTGTACATCGTGTGCCCATGGATGAGTCAGCAGAGCAGCTTAGTGACACAAACATCCACAGCAGTCACAGTGCACGTTGACAGTTACTCTCTTACCAGAAACCCTTTGGTTCCTGAAATAGTCTGTGGACTCGGAGAATGTCCGAGAATGACCCCCCCCCCCCCTCCTTCTGTTGTCCCTTCAGCTGTCAGTATATAGACAGGCCGAGATGAGGGGGTATAGAGAATGGCGTCCGGCCTGCTGGGTGTGGATTGAGGATGGATAACGTATGCAGTCTACGATCCAGTGTGGATATGAATATGAAAGAGCCTTCTCCGAGGGGTGGCAAACTTTGGAATGAAATGCCATTCGTCTTTTGGTAAATATAGCGTTGAGCAATAAGCAGCCACGCCCTCCGCTCTGGACCTTAAGGCTGGTGGAAGAATGTTCACCCCGTGTCTCTCGGACCAAATGTGCTGACGATGACGGTAATGCTGCGGGGAGACGAGCCAGTGGCTGTGTGCCAGGAGATTTGAACAAGATATCTGAATGCAGACATGGTGTCTGTGTATGCCAACAGTCTCAGTGCCTCCTCCACTCATCTGTATTTAAATGTCCTTTAAAACCGGTGTAGTCAGTCTTCATCAATCTACCTGCGTTGTTTTTAATGCTGTGTTTTGTTCAATTTGTGGACAATAAGGTTCCTTACAAACGTGAAAAGTAATAGTCTAATTACATTCATAATCATGTTAATTTAACAATTAAAATGGCAATAATCTATATCTTATTAATTTTAACAAGCAAATAGTGGAGTCTACAGCCACAAGCTTTTTAAGGGACCAAAGGCAAAAGGGACCTGTGGGGCCCAAACCAACCCCCCACCCCCCGCAAAAGCACATGATAGACATTGTTAACCTCTTATCGAGCTTTTGGCAAAACGTTAGTAGTATGAAGCCTTGTTGCAGAGATTGTGACCATGTCAGTGCAGACTCATGTACAAGGTGATCATAATTTAAAAGGTTTTTCAAAAAAAGGGCCTCTCCCTCTCCAGCTCAGGGGGCCCCTGTCTACAGCTTTTCATCTGTACCCTTTTCTTCACGATTAAACAACCAAGACATACTTGTTAATCCACAAACTGCTGACTGATTTAGTTCCAAATCCTTTCCCTATTTTCAGCAGATATCAAAGATATTTACTTTCTCAGAAGTGCTCAGAACCCTACCTAAAAGCTTTGCTGATGTTCGAAGGAAAATGTTCAAAAATGTGTTTATATGCTCGGATGCAGCTGTGGCTCTGCACCTTTAACCTTGTGGTGATGTTTTTCTCCTAATGGGCCAAAAGTAGAGTTTTGGGGATTTCAAGTTTATACAAAGTATATTATACAAAGTATATACAAACTCTGTCCATACACAGGATATAGAGTAAACATGGAGTCATAGAGACCACACCAGAGCAGCAAATATTTTCTTTACGACTTCCTTAGCAATCGCTGATGTGGACTGGACCTACAACCATAATTTTTCTCAATGAAGTCATATTTAAAAGGCCATCACTCACCAGTTTCTCCATTTCCTGCTCACGCAGCCTCTCCTCTCTCTGCCAGCGGTGGTATTCCAGCAACTCGTCCTCATTGTCGCTGATCTCAGAGATGCTGTTCTTGCGCTCCCGTGTATATGGCTTCATTGGGTTGGGTTCCTTGGTGGAGGATCCCGTCACGGTCGAGCAGGAGGTTTTTCTTTGGCTACGAGGACTTGCCAGAGGAGATGTACCCAGACCTGATACCATGGCACCTCCTGGCCCAGGCCTTGATCTTCTGCCTTCAGGCTCCTTCTCCAACCCAGAGAGTGGTGATGGACTCTGGGAGTACAGCGCTCTCATGGCCTCTGCTTTTGTTGTGAGTTTGCTGTGGCCCTGGGGGCTCTCGGGGTGGGCAGCGAGGCCTTGTGTGGCGAGGAGAGAAGCTGAGCCCTGCGATCCTGGATTCCCCTTGCCAGACGTGTAAGGGCTGACAGGAGGAAGTTCTCTCAGGATGCTGGGCGCAACCAGCTCTGGAGTCCTGAGTCTTTGAGGGACTTCTACACTGGAGAATAACTGACCCTGCTCTCGCATGGGGCTGGGGGATCTGTGTTGTAGAGAAGAACCTCTTACTCGAGGGCTGGGTGGAGCCATTGGGGAAAATTTGACAGACAATGATTTGGGGGTTATGCTAGAGTTTTCTGTGCCCTGTCCTGAATGTGAGCTAGGTGGTGTGGGGGTGGTTCTCACGTTCCTAAGAAGCTTTGGGCTTTCCTGGGCTCTCTGACCACCACTACTGCTCAAGGCAGCAGACAGCGAGGTCCGTGGATTGGGGACCGGAGTGTGGTTGGTGTGAGCGGACCGCGCAGGTACCGGAGGAGTTTTGTTGCCGAGGTTCTTGCACCCCAAGGTTCTGATGTTTTCATAAATGGTGTCCTCTGTTGTGGAACTGTTTCTTCCATTGAGCATGTTTGGAGGAGAGTGCTGAGGAAGGGGCTGTTTCCCAGGTCCTGATGATGATGATGTGTTCACCACCAAGGAGTCCTGGAGGCTCTTGTTGATTTTAGAGTTGCCGTTGCTTGAAAAGGACTGATGGCTGCCGTTAAACACACTATGTGAGTCTGCAGAAGGGAGACAGAAACACTTGTGAATGAGCATTCCTGTTGAATAAATAAGGAGGTCACACACAGTTAAGAAGACAGTTGTAAAAACACACATAAAAAAACATTTGACATCCACCACACCTCAGGTCAGTAGTGCAGGACAAGGAGGGTCGCTCATAAAAGGACAAATACACATGCCTGTATATGTTGTGTTACAGTGTCCTGATGGCCCACTTTAAATAGCGATACATGTCTTGGAGCCCACGCCGCCCCGTATATGAACCAAACCCAGTGATCGGGATGATGTGCTCCTCACTTGTGTTGTAATCCTACAGGGATCTGGAGCTGCTAAATATAAAAGCTGCAGCCGTGTAGCTCATTCAGAGCAGATGAAATCAGGGCCTGGTCAGGAAAGAGTGGGCCATGCATGCACACTGAGCAGGGTGTGGTGGCTCTTGCTGTACTGTTCAGGCTCTGACAGCCAAACCAGTAAGGTCAGGGGAGAATGGCTTCTAAATATCATCCACAGCAAAAGGAAACAGTTGCCACAATTATATAACATCATGTAAAAAATTATCCAAAAGCTGGTGGCAAAGATTATAACATTCCTCAGTCACAATAGGGTCACACACTGAGCCAGAACTGCAGATTTAAATGAACTAGATCACAATAATGTAGGCCACAGATAATTAGTTTAGAACAAGGATAATAATATACGCTATCACAAACGTCCAGACCAACTGGGCTTGAGATATGGGAAATAAGAGCTGGTGAAGTTTGAGTCAGATTTGAGACATCAGATTATATCACTATTCAAGTGTTCAGTCATCTCTCATCAGAGTGCATGGTTACTGTGCCGTTTTAGTGAGGATGTAATCTTTGAAACATGCATATTTTAAACAATGATTCCCACAGAGTCGGATTACAAAATCTCATCCTACCCAGAGAACAATGCCCCAGACTACATGAAACAATCCCTGATTAGAACTAGAATGGCACAGTCGAGCACATACCTCCGTCCCGTTCAGTTAAGCTGCACCAAATTTCACACACATAGATGACAGTTCCCAAATTACCTGAGTCCCCCCGATTCAGATCCACACAAATCTCAGATGGATTGGTCCACCGAGTTTCATGAAAATCTATTTGTTTGTTTTGGTGAAATCTTAAAATCAACCGACTACCAAAAAGACAGGGGTATAAACATAACATCCTTGTTGGAGGAAAAAAGGGGAGCTCATGCAGATTTTTATAGAAATGTAACAGGAACACAGAATGATTCTAACACTTTGTGTGACAGCCCAAAGCATTCACTCTGCCCAGAATAGCTGGAGGAAAGTGTGCAACCTTCATACATACAGTTGTCCATGAGCAACTTATTTCTGGATCACAGGAACTGTTCTGTCTAGAGTTAAGATAAAAGTTAATTATAAATATCTTTTACCAGCAGGAAGAGTTTTTGTGGTGCTGAGTTCCTGGCCTCCTCCTCCTCCTCCGGGCAGCATGCTCTTCATCCTCACGGCCTCCTCCGGATGATTGAAGCGAAAAAAGGCGGACTGACCAAAACACAGCATGCACCCTGGCAGAAGAGAAGAGTAAGTGTCAGAGAGGAAAGTTTGCACACATCACCATCAATGTTCTGCTAAAAAAAGAAACATTGATGAAGTGAGGTGTAAACACAAGCTTTAACTTAGACTATTCCCCAAAACAATTTGACACAAATTAACACGTACAATGACTTAAAAAAACAATCTGAGCATATATGTCTACAGTCAGTTATCGTGTAGTGCTCTGTGTATCATAAAAGATACTGTATTCAACAGTCAGTACACTCATAACAATACAAATAATAATAACATTCACAATTATAAAAACACAAAAAATAATAAAAACACTCAACATTGGTTAAAATAAGAGAAAACCAAATAAAAGCAAATAACTATCCAAAAGATAGATGGACTTAGGGTTGTCCAGATCTGTCATTTCTTAACATTTTACATTTCAGCTTTACATGAAGTAAAATTGCTTTGATTTAAACTCTGACTTGTGGCTATTGTTTATGTGGTAAACTGGAGACCTTGCAATTTAGTTGTTTGGTTATTTGTGAGATGAATGTGTTTGTGCTCCTGAGCACACAGCAGTGCATTGACCAGTTTAACTCACGTGTGCTTAACCAGTAAGTCAAATCAACTCCTTCTTCTCTCTTGCATTTCCGGTGGCTTTAACGAATGCCTGAAATATTTCCTGAGAGTCTCACGCTTCAGTCTCTTAATCCCAGTTATAGATCCTCCACAGGGACTTCAGTATTAACTCCTTCCCTCAAAGTAAAGTCAACATTGTTCCTTGTGGTATAAGTGAAGCTGTTTCCTCAGCTCCTGATTTGTTTTGCTCAGTGTTTCATGATTGTCCTGTGAATGGAGCAAAGCCTGAGGTATTCTGGTTGAGCAGCTGCTGCCTCCTCACACGTCGGCTGATCGCCCTGCTTCAAATGACATTCTGGTGTGGCTGCTGGCTCAGATCCCATGGAGAGGGGACCGAGGGGGTTGGGACTGTTGTGTTTTTTTTACTGTATAAGTATACACGTTACTGGATGGAACTGTTTTGCTGTTGTGAAGCCAGGCAGCGTTTTTATCCACCTCACCTCCAATTCAGACAGTCAGGAGAATCAGTATAGTTTTTGTATAATAGATTTTTAGACAAAAATATTATAATATTATTGATATAAGATTCTATATCAACTAGGATGGCACTCAGTACATCACATACCTCCACTAAGGCCCAACAGTCCCCTTATGAAACCACATTTTAATTGACTAGATCTGGGTTTTTGTTTGGTTCTGCACCAAGTTTCACACACTCATAAATATTTATTCCTATAAATATACCTGATTATTCTCTGAGAAATCAACAGAAATGTTGAAAAATGCCCTATAGCTCACAATGTGAAAGAAAGTAAAATGAATATCCTGAATCTGCTCTCTGATCTGGATCAGCTCCAAAATGTAATGGATCCCTTCTTGGGTCATTCTCCACCCCTTCATGAAATTTCATGGAAATCGGTTCAGTAGTATTTTGTATAATCCTGCTAACTAACAAACAAATACAGATGAAACATAACGTCCATGGCGAAGGTAATAAGCTGCAACAGTAACAATCATATCACTGCAGTCCTCTAGGTCTGTGCTACCTTGTGTCAGGCGATAGGGTCTGGTGATTGGGAGGCCATCCACACAGCACTGGTTCCCACATGGGTACAAAATGATGACGCCCGACTCGTTTTCAATGTAGCAGTGCTGCGCTGCGATGCCGGGGCCCTGCAGGGGGATATCTGTGCCCCCACTGCCCAGTGTGGTTCTTCCTGCAACAAGAGAAACATTTTCTCAGTATCAGTTACTGGACATCCAGATGAACATGTTAAATAGTTCAGTGAAGTATTCTTAGGTTGAAGCCAGAGACGGTGGGTGCTCAGAGGTCAAAGCCTCGTGGGTAGGCAGAATTCTCTGACCTGGCAGATGATTAGCATCTCATCTGTGGGAATTAATAGAATTAAAATGTCTGCTTTTTGATGTGTTCTCATTTTATCATCAGTCCTATTCCACCAGTCTGAGTACAAGAGATGTGATGTAAATAGTATTTATATATATTTAAATGCATGGATGATACGGCACAAGGAAAACATCCCAGAGGGCCCTTTCCTTTGGTGCTACAGTCACACCCTCTGCCTTATATTCCTGTCTGTTGCATAAACCAGTGAGACAAAAGGTACATAAAATACTGTGGTACAATATGAGCAACAATAAGAGGGTTAGACTGTGTGTGACAATGTGTCATCACTTTTTGTCAATTCATCACTCCTGACAAGTTGTGCTGCTTACATATTAAATAACCACTGACTTGTTGAAATAGTGCGTATAGCCCACTTCCTTTGTCATTTACAATAACAACAGTTACAGATTCTACATAGTAAGTATAGACTTGTCTGACACATGAGGGTGAAGCCATTCAGACTTTGCTGATCTTGCAGTTATCTTTAACAAGTAATTATAGAGCAATGACAAGACAACAATACATATTTAACAAGCTGTTAGTGAGACAACAACAATAAGACAACTGTAAAATAAGTGGTTTGCATTAGTATTGGTATTGCAAAACGTATTTTACCATTTGAATGAAGCAAACACTTTAAAGTACCCACTCATCCTCCCTACATACAAAAGACACTACCCTAGAAGTCATTCACCTTCCTGCAGAGGCAGCAAAGTGATGGCCGTGCTCAGACGTCCACTTCCCAGACTAACCAGGTGGGGGCGCTCTGCCTGGACTCTGAGGGACTTGCCGGTCTCGATCAGGTCTAAAGGAGTGCTCTGTCAAAACAAAGAGAGTCTTAACGAGAGTCTTGAAAAGGACATATAGATATTGATTCTGTTTTGAACAGAATCATAGACATATGTAATAAAATATAAATATTGATATGTTCAAATAAGAGGTCCAGTGTATGTACTTGATGAAGAAGACATCAGTTTTGAAACCATCGACAGCACATTTCACCACAGAGGTTATATGAGGTGCCTGCATTGATACTGTGGCTGTCACATGATCATTAATATTCACCAGCTACATTTTATGATCCTAGGAAAACAGTAACAAGTAGCCCAGATGGCCGGAGCTGGAGGAATAAACATGGTATGGTTCTAATGAACAGTTGTTTCATGCTCAGTCAGAAACACTTGTGAAAATAATGGTTCAGAGGAACAGAGCATGGAAATAACTGGAGATTATCATGCAACATTTGTTACTTTAAAAATATGCAGAAATAACTTATACCAGAACATACAGAAAAAAAGGCTTCCATTCTTTTAAGCACTGACCACATTCATTTGATTTCTTTGGAAGCTGCTAAATTTTTAGGCTACATTCTTCAGGAAATCATTCATTTCTCATTTTTGTTGAATAACACTGATAGAACAATAGAAACAGTCGCAGTGGATTTGACCTCACCTGTAGGACCTGGTGCGTCTGTCGCCCCTGCTCCACTTTATTCCTTCTCATGCGCTCCATGTCGGCCGGACTGTCAGAACTATCTGACACGTGAAGATCCTGCAGCACACACACACAGAATGAGAGATGGGATAGAGAGAGGAGCACGGTATGAATGGGAGCGCTGGGAATACTGCTACTACAGTTGTACTACAATGGGAACAGTGCTTTCCTTAGAAACCCTCCTGCCCCAGTTATAAGCCCATGTGACTAAACCATTATACTGGGTAATTGTTTCTCCAGAACAGTCCAAACATAGTGATCCGTCAAGAAATCTGGCAGTGATTAATGCCTCAATCTAAAAGAGATTACTGTCTTTATATGTTACAGAATGAACACAAGCAGGTATTTGACATAAAAAGCCTGATGTTATGTGGGTATCCTCACAGCAGCAGAAGGTGTGAGTGAGCTCTGCAGGTGCCGGACACACCAGGGGTAAGATCATCGCTTCCTCTGACCGTGATGAGTCACTGTGACTCAATCGCATATCTTATAGTCTCTACACACACAATTGGATCCAGCTGTCTGCTCATCACGCTCACATCAAACGAAAAGGGAAACAACAAACCAGCAAAGGAACCACATGTGTCTGGAACAATCACACACAGACACATAAGCAGTCCAGATGTCTGGCCGTATTTTTCTGCTGTAAGATGGTGTCCACGTCTTTCACTATTGCCTTCATGGATGGGTTGCTTGTCCTGGCATCACCACAGAGCAGCTGAGCATTACAGGCAAAACTGAAGTCACCTTGTATCTAGTGTCTGTTTTGTCTACCATAAGCCAGTGGGGAAGATGAATTGTGTCATGTGCTGACATGTCATTTTCACAGATTTCTTCACTTTAATGTGACAATTTAATGAAACTAATGCAGTGTCCGATGTTTGGAATGACCTGTTCTCATGTCCTGTTTTAATGTTCCTGAGCCACCACAGAATTATTTCTTGTCCCTAGTGAGTCCTCCTCGAACAGTTCTACAATATACTGTCACTTTTGTGTGCTGGACGTTGTGTCCAAAGCTTTTTATAAACAGTCAATGCTGCAGAGTGAAATTAGAAAACTTAGTGTTCATCCTACCTGGGTTATTTGAATTTTATTTCACATGTGTCGCATCTATATAAGTTTGAATGATTTACCTAACTGGTGTTATTTTTTCATACATTGCATGTCAGTTATCTCAGAGGTCTGTTGAGCAATTGACACAATCTTCAGACCCAAGTTGTGGAATTAGTGGGTAGATATCTTAAATACAGTGGCTCTGCAAGGGGTTGGGTTTTGGGTTAGCTTTAGCACAGAGCCTCTGAAATGCAACTGAATGGATGAACATGATTTTCCAAAGGTTTTCTCCTCATTTGGTGTATTGATGTTTGTGTTTGGGCTGGTGTCCAAAATCACACAGGGCTTTGATTCCTCACGTCAGTCAGTCTGTTATGAAATGACCACATCAACCTGGTCACACACCACAGATTTGACCTGAGCTTTTACTCTTTGAGTCATCCTGACGTCATCACTGATAACTTCAATTTCGTGAAAACAAAATGACCAAAAACAAACAGCCTCGGCTGTCATGCTCCAAGTATAGCCCAGTCTCTCTGAGACAACGGGGCGTTCAAGCTGCGTCTGATGTCACGCCAGAGAGGGCTGCTGGGTAGAAACTATACATACATCTGACAATCACGTCCAGTGTGTGACTCTGTGTGTGTGACTCTGTGTGTGTGTGTGTGTGTGTGAGGACCTAGGGAGAACAGACCATCCCTCTGTTCAGCGATACCGCTGGACCCCTCATGCCTCTGCTGTCAGCCCACTGGCTGTCAACACTGGCCCTCTTTCAGCCACGCACTCAGACACAGGACCGGAGAGTGGGCAGGGTAATGTGCCTCTGTCTGACTGACTCACACACACACACACACACGTATGCTCCTGCTCCCACAAGCCTCAGTGATTGAACGTACACACCCAGGCTGGAGAATAGTTTTAATGCTCACAAACGCAGGCCCTTCCACAGCAACCTGTCATTACAGGGGCAGTTATGTCCTGCAGAGTTGCCATGAGCTTCTGAAAATAGACACCACCAGCCACATAGTCTGGGCTGCTACTTTTAAAGAGAAAGGACTTCTGCTGAGAAAGCGGACAAATCACAGCACTAGAAACATTCCCGTTTAAAATGATTAATGAAATAAAAGAGAGTCCTTGTTTGATCAAGGACAACACAACACTGGAGAGAAAAACACAACAGCTGCTGCTAAACACACCCAACACTTCCACTACTTCACTGATAGACATGCAGCTCTTACCATTTCTCTGCTCTTACAGAATCCAGACAGCAGCTATCGATCCATGAGTCTATCTGAAGATTATTCATCCACTCAGCAGCGTCCACATTATTGTTTATGTCATGCTCCCAGCTTTTTTCATTCACCCACTGAGTTCCTGTGCTATTTCCCTCCTCCCAACCCCTTCTCCTCCCCATCCCGGTGCAAAGTTACATCCCCAACAAAACCTGGCATTGGCACTGCCCTCCAGAATGTGTTCTTATTTCTGACTCCTTTTTTTACTTCCTCTCTCATTTTAGCAAATAGATCCATAAGTACATCTGTTTACTCTAACACTGAACTTTAAACCATTAAAAGAGGCATTGGGTCAAAGTTCAAATCACTCCCCGAAGATTTCCACTGATTGAAAGATCAGATGGACCACACCAGAGTACCGCTGGAGGCCGGAGGCCGAGCCCTGCACTGCTGCGACTCTCCTCAGTGTTGGCTATTGGTAAAGCAGGTGTTAACATTCGGATCCTGAGAGGAAAAAACATGTGGTGTAGGAGTCAGAGATGGAAAAGACCTCGTGTCCTCTGACTTCCTGCTCCAAGCTCTCTCCCACTTATGCAACAAAATCTGGAAAGAGGGAAATTCCACTCTGGAAAAACTATTGAATTAAAATTTGTGATTGTATGACGAAGCATGGTGGATTACAATATGTCCACTGATACATCCCTGATGATGCGACAGAGAAATAACAATGTTCCAGAGGAAGTGGTGAACACGTGAACAGACTTCCCATAGGAGCGCTTTGGATTCAAGACAAGAGGAGAGAGTGGGAGAGAGAGTCCACTATTGATCTCTCGAGGCTTTTCCCATGGTCGGGGGCCAGAGAGGAGCGATGGAGGAAATGAAGCAGATGATGAGTCACTGAGGAAAATAAAAAACAAACAGAGGCAGCTAAGTAACCAGATGGACTTTAAGTAAAGTCTGTAACAAAGGTTGAATTACTGGGTCGGCCTCAGTGATGATGTGGTAGTTACAGCTGAGTGGACGATAAAACTAAATCGTATCTTGCTTTTATTTGACAAGCTGTGATGTGTAGTTTTATATTGTAGTATTATCTTGTATCGTCTCGTTTCTTCTTGTGTAATTTGTTGTTGTTTCTTTGCTCCTGGACTGCAAATTAGCTTGAATCTATAATCTGGTATGATCCATCATATGGGGAAATATTTGAGCTGTCACTTTTAAACCATGAAATAAAATAAAACAATAAATTAATTAACCAACGATAGCAGGTAAAATGAGTCAAAGATAGATATTCTTTATCAATATGTGAAGGGTAAAATATGTTATTTTGTAAATGATATTGGCTCATTAACTCTGTGAATTAAATGATTTAAGAAATGAACTTTGCTGATGTGTGTTTATTTATCTTAACTGGAGTACATCCATTACCACGGCAAATCATTAGAAGCCTCAAAACTGACAAAATGCAGGAAAAAACTTATCAGAAAGAGAAATTATATTATCATCATCCGTCAGCTTCATATCCATTCTAATAACTGAACCAACAGTTTGTTGTATTATATTATTTAGTTAACATTTATGCAGTTTCAGGGCTCCATACAACACAGCTTGATACTTTAAAAACTAAAAAAAAGCTAAAAAAAACTGTATCTTAGTGGTAAAGTGTATTCACGTAGCACTTCATAACATAAAATCTGACAAGACTTGAGGGTCCTTTATTTATGTTTTCAATTACATTTTGACTCGTCTGACAAACCTTTAGCACAGTTATCAGAGAGTATTGCGGTTTGCTGCTTCAGCTTAATGACAGTTTCAAGAGGTGATGTAATATTAAAATCAGCTAAAAAAAAAGAAGAAAAGCAAGGAAGCAATAAAAAGAAAGTTCTTATTTTGTTTTTCTGCTGTTGAAACATATTTAAGTGTTGCCTGCACAGTGGGATGATGATAAAAGTTCACCACTGTTGAAGATGTGCCAGCTGCAGTGTTTGTATTTGTTGATCCCACCAGTGTGAGGATTTCTCACAGGTGGTGAAAAAATGTGTCTGGTGAGAGGATGAGATTGGTGAGCTTGTGTATACCAGTTACACTCTGATATACAATGTCTAAACTGACTTGTGGAGCAGATGTGTGCAGTTTCTGCAGCACATCTGGACAAGACAGAGAGGCAGTTGAAAGAATGGAGGATAGCAAGAACAAGTGGTGTTTCAGTCAGAGTCTTGAGAACCTGAGAAAATGCCTAATTCATACACCTGAATGAGGTGTGCTGATGAGAAAACTGTCCACAGAAAGATATGTACAATTTGAATTAAGCATTTTAAGCTGCTCTCTTTAAAAAAAATTTTGTCATTACATTTTAATGTTCTTTTGTTTTTAAGAGTGACCTGCACACTTATATATGGATAACTGCTTTGCACTCCCCTGTGTGCTGTTAAGTGTATTATACAAGTGATAAATTAAGCTGCATTTCTAATCGCCTTTCTCCTCTTGTGAATCCACGTGGACTTTATCACCCTGATCGCAGCCTCTCAAGCAGAACTTCCTCTCAGGCCGTCCACAAATCCTTCCTCTTCCGCTGACACTGAAGGACCAAAATATCCCCTTTGCCCTGTACTTGACCTTAACTCAAACATATCCATCAAAATGGTGGTGGTGCTTGTTTGTGTTGCTTGTTGACAAGCTGGGAGGAATGCTGCATGGGAGACTCAACCCAGGACAAGACATACCCTCATCCTGAAGGAGGAGTAATAAGAAGTAGATTCACAGATGTGATAGATTGACAACATGTGTAGCACAGACGGTTGCAGAGCACTGGGGTATAATGTGTTCTTCAATCTTGAAAACACTGTTTTAAAACAGCAACAAATTAACCATGTGTGAACATAAATAGTCATTTGAATCATCTGATTTGCTCTGCTTCATGAGACACCCACGTCCTTACATGTGGCAACAGTTATAATGCAATACAGAAAGTATATCAAAATAGGATTTGTCCTCAGACGAATTATAAATAATGAAAACCAGCAACAGGAAGCTGCAGATATTCCCAAAACACTTTTTTGAGTCTCCCACCAAACATTTATCACGTTCTTTCTTACATCTGTCTCCTTGTCTCTCAAAACTCAATATGATCAAGAAAAAACACATTAGAAGAATAAAAACTTCTTTTTTTATTTTCAAGTTAAAATATACTCACCCAGGCTCATATGCACCTCACACTCCTGTCAGGGGAAATACTTCATCAACCTGTAATTCCACCAAAGTGCATTATTAGACCGATGAGCCCCTGAGGCAGCCTGATCTCATACACACACATGAAAGTGTCCATTCACACAGCCTTAATCTCGCTCTCTCTGAAACCAGATGACGTCCACCTGCTCCCACTGCTCTGCTGTAATAAAGTAATGACTGTTGATAAAGGATCAAAAACAAAGAAGAACGTATGTAAACTCTCTCACACACAGTCCATAGTGAGGGAGAAGTAACAGGGTCATTATGGGCTGTAACCACACTCCTAACCTGCCGCAAAAGCTCCCATTATCTCCTCCTCTCTCTCCTTGCAACGCACTCTCAGACCATGGAGCAAATATTTTAGTTTCTAATTACCCAGGCTGGCTCGGCACATCAGAGATGAGGCGTCATTATGGGAGAAGTCGCCCAGTCCTCTCCTTGAGGATGGAAATATACTGTCGTTTCTTCACTGTTGGCTTGAGTTTTTTTCAAAGTCAAACCATCCAGAGGATCTACATACGTCTTTCTGACGGGTCCACCCCTCTTTCCGGCCCTCTCTCTCTCTCTGTCTCTCTCCACTTATAATTCCTTCTTTTTTCCTCCCCTTCATTGAATCTACCCACGCTGTATCCCTGCATTGCTCTGTGAGAAAAGACAAAACCTGGAGAAAAGTGTCACCAGGATGAGATCACTCATTGAGGATTAGAGAGGGAGAGCCAACATGAGTTTGCACTGAGGGAAGCACAAGTGACACTTAAAAGCCATCAAGTCAACACTTCTCTGTTTCCTGCTCAGAATTACAGAAGCACAAATTCTTTTTCCATAATCTGCTAAAAACTGCACATATTTTACTTGACTGTCATAAACAGAGTGAGAATAGCGACAGTGGTAAATTTAGAGCCTTTGACAGGGTGCCAGTCAGGAAATTATAGTGATCACAGCCAATGGACACACAGTTTTTCCTCTCAGGCTGGAGTTTTTTAGACTGGCTGTTGGTGTTGGACACGTTGTCAAGGCCCGAGTAATTGGTTCAGCCTGTCCTGGGTTCGGATCAGACTCGGTGCGTCACGCTGCTTTTCCCACTAATAAAACAGTCAAGAGCAGACAGAAATATCTGCGTGCTCCCCTGTGGAAAGGTTATGGGCGAGTTTAGCTGCATGTGTCTGGGGTGAGAGGAGGAAAAAAAGGGATCTGCACCACAGGTGACTTAAAAGAAAAATTAATCTTGTATAAATCCCACAAAGAATTGTTAAGTAGGAGTGTTGGAAGGAGTGAGGGCTGCTCGAGATTCTTTTTTTAAAAGATGGTTTTCTGTTTGTCATGACACTAAAGGAAACACACACACCACAGTCATCACACACATCCTGCATTTTCAGATATGAGACAGCTGACACCTGGTGGCAAAATCAGTGAAGTGCACCTCTAACCTCATGGTTAAATCAATGGCCCTGCAACTCATGGAGTGTGTGGTCTGATTAAAGTGCAGCAGTGGTAACCTGGTGAGCAGTGCTGACATGTGGTTTGCGTGGCCGACAGATGTTTTTTTTCAGCAGAGGTTTTATTCGGTCAGATGAGGTTTCGTGGTTTGTCCTGACCCTTGTATAAATAGACCCGTTCCTGTCAGACAGGATAAATACAACACTAACATTGTCACAGCTAACTTTAAGTTACAGTCGTATGAAGATGAGAGCAAATGTACAGTAATATCACCGCACTAGCAGAGAAGACTTGTGATGTACAAGAACTGTGCTGCTATTAACTGTGACAGAATGATTCTTCCATGAAGAAATATTGACTGCCTGATTTATGAAACATGTGAATGATGGGATTTGCAATTTAACGGGTCTCTATTGAGGCTCAGTAAATGTATGCTTCTTCACAATGTGATGGATTTTGTAGTATTGAGTTGTGTATTTGATCAGATAGCACTGTGCTCGTGCTGCAGGTGTTTATCTGTGAAGGTTCTCAGTCATGGTATCTGCAGGACTGATACACGTGCACATTGGAAGCTGGAGTTGCTTGTGTTTTTTTCTTCTAAATTTGGATTTCAGTGATCATATCTCAAGACGCGATCAGGACACATTCAGACCTGTACCTAGTGCTGTCCACTTGTGATCAGATCACTGAGGAGAAGGATGCTTTAGTCATTCACACTTTGACTCAGGGAACGTCAAGCTGCATGTTACATGACCCTCAACATGGATAACAATTAACAGAAGTTAGATACCGGAAGCCTAACCCACTAGTCAGTAAGAACAGATGTGCATTTGTAAAACTCTTGAAGGCTGCAAATGTTTGTCTTCACATGCAACAAGGAAACACCTGGAGCCTCAAGCATAAAGAGCCGTTGGTGTGTTACAGACTTTAACCACAGAGATGCACAAACACGCTAAGAAAGAAAACCCTTGAGATGCTATGTCTCTGTTGCCATGACTCTTCTGAAACTTGGTAGAAGCAGAATTAGGGAGACACAACTTCATCATAATGGTTATTTCTAAAGCATGTAGAGTAGTGCTTCTATTTTATTCACTGTTTTTAACAAAAGCCTAAAAGCATTGCTGTCTTTTGGGTGAAATTGGATTTAATTAATCCTGATCAGGATAATTTAATAAACTAGGAAGATTATAGACTTTAAAGTAAATTGAAACCCAAACTATTGTGCCATCAGCTGGGCAGAATGTGTACTAGTTTGTTTGCATGCCAAGTAGTGTAGGATTTGTTTGTGTCATTTATAAATTAAGACTGAGGGATTTAAAGCCAACTTCCACCAAAACACAGTGGTGCTAATAGGAACCACGTGAAGGAGTCGGCAGGCTGTTTCAGAATCAGGCTTATGGACCACCATGTAGTTCATTTTCACCCGACATGTGATGACTGCTGAGAAGCATTGGTGCATGTGGCAGTAAGTAGATGTGTAGTTTTACTACAACCTCACATTTGTTTAAAATCATAAAGAAGGTTTATCATGCAATCAGCAAAACAACCACCGGCTACAGACAGTAACAACTCCTCTGTATTAGAAAGATGTCTGCTATCACAACAAGGGTAACAAGCACTTGTATAAAAAGGGTTTATTAAATTAGAAAGCCATGCTAAAGAGGAACACGAGGACAGATTGCTTTTTAAAGGAGGAGTGGGTGGCCCTTAAAAGGGCCTTTGGGGTTGAGAGTTATTAGCCTACAAGCTAATACTCCTGGGACTGAGAGGAGGCCTTCTTTCCCGCCTTGCCGGAGCTGGGTGCGGACTGTCCGGTCTTCTTGGGCAGCAGGACGGCCTGGATGTTGGGCAGGACGCCGCCCTGGGCGATGGTGACGCCACCGAGCAGCTTGTTGAGCTCCTCGTCGTTGCGGACAGCCAGCTGCAGGTGACGGGGGATGATACGGGTCTTCTTGTTGTCTCTGGCGGCGTTTCCAGCCAGCTCCAGGATCTCAGCGGTGAGGTACTCCAGCACTGCAGCCAGGTACACGGGAGCCCCGGCGCCCACTCTCTCGGCGTAGTTACCCTTGCGGAGGAGACGATGGACGCGGCCGACGGGGAACTGCAGACCGGCGCGGGAGCTGCGAGTCTTGGCCTTAGCGCGGGCCTTGGCTCCGGTTTTTCCTCTTCCAGACATGTTGGTTAGTTCGCTGCTTTTTCTCTCTGAAGAAAATACTGCAACAGTATTGAAGCTCCAGCACAACCAGGATATAAACCCCTCGGTTTGTCCCGCCCTACAACGCGATTGGTACTGAGGATGGAATTAGCCGTGTGTGATTGGTTGTCAGAGGTCAAAGGGAACAGGAAGTCTGTGAGTATTGGCTTGAATGTTCTTACGTTGAGCCAATCACGGTGGTTTTTACAGAAGAAAGGCGGGCGTAGTTCCTTTTGCGTGTTGTGATTGGGTCATGAAACAGCGGATGACACGGAGGACCAATCCAACGTCTTCCCTCGTCCTTCAAAGTTTTAGGCGCGTTCAACTTGAGCAGTGGAAGTAAAAGTAATAAATAAAAGTCATGTGTCTGTATCTGAGATCAACAGCAAGTACTGAAATGTTACGACTTTGCATTTTAAAGATGCTCTAAAAGTCTCAGTTTTACATCTAGAAATTCCATATCTCCTAAAATAAGAAAGAAAGAGTCAAAAGTCACCCTGGGTACACAGATCAACTGAGCTTCAAAAATAATTTATTTGCAATAAATTAAACATTTCAAATATTACAACAGAAATTATACACATCTTAAAATATCCAGCAACTTCCTGTTTCACATTCCAGCCACATATCACATAGTCTGCCTTTAGTCAACGCAGTGGCTTTGTTCGTTTATTCAGCATTTTGAATTGGTTTAATTTTTGTAAAGCACATGGTATATGTTCAGTAGAGTCCCTTTGACAGTATTTGTCTTATTTAATTTGATCGTTCTAAAGTCTCAGAATTAATGCAGAAGTTTAAAGTATTTCTCTTTTTCTCTGACTAAACACAAATGTCCAAAAATGTCGGGGTTTTTTTTTACCTTATGTCTCTTGTTGCTATAGCAATTTATTTTCTAGCCCTGAGTGGGTCCACGATACCCATTGCCTTGTCATTAACTCTGACAATCTTGTTGCTTGCAATGCCTCGGCAGAACGTCTCAAAATACGTCCCTGCAGTTGCTAATGTGAGACTCGAATCTGTTTAAAAAGAAACATTATATAATAACAATCTTAAATCTTACAGACAGGATAAGTTTGGTAAGGTTTAGATTATAATTAGATCACATATCAGAATGTCACATAATATACCGTATGCAATCTTGCTCCACTGTAATGATAGTTATTGCAGAAATCAAATGTCAATAGAGAGCATCTAGTTTGTTATGCTCTTAACTGCACATTTCACTTATTAGAGTCAATACTAGATACAAAGTGAGCAGGACTTGATCCTGTTTTTCTTCCTGACAATACTGTCTTGTGGAGAGAAGTTTTCAAAGCAAACCAAAATGCATTTATGAGCTTAACTTCAAATAAGAATCCCACAGAAAGTACCTTTTATAAAATAAAACGTACAATAAATATATTATCTTTTCTGCTTCTTATGTAAGATACAACATTTAACGACATCCTAAAACCAATTTATAAGCAATCATGAATGGACATTACAGCTAATTTAAGACAGACTCTTGTTAACTCACTTAAAACTAGGTGTTAAAATTACATGT